TTATAGATATAATATATAATATATAATATATAAGGTTTATAATAAACCAACCAACCCATGGGCAGCAGCTTTTCCCAGTAGCATCCGGCAGGAAGTTTCTGGCACCACGATGTGGGGGATCCAGAGGTGCAACTGACGTTCCGCCGTCGCATCGAGCGCTTCCTGAGTCTGGATCGAGCAGGTGGCCCGGGAACTCCCATGAAATGCCCCAGTCAATGGATTGGTTCAAGGGAAAATCTACAGGAAAGCCCCATATTTAACGGGAAAATCTATGGTTTCCTGTAAAATTTCCCTTAAACCAATCCAATCAGCCAGAAAAACAGGTTTTACCTGGCCTGGTAAAGATAGAAAAAACTATGGAAAATGGCTATAGAAATAGTTGATTTAGCCATCAAAAAAGGGTGATTTTCATTGATTTTCTATAGTCTTGTTAGTTTACCACAGGGTAATGGGAAAATCTGCTATAAATGACCTCTAACTGGAGGTTTTATATAGCGAAAATCTGCGAAAATCGGAATTGTCCATTGACTCAGGTCCAGGTCGCTATGGTGAAGTGGGATGCACATTTGATGTGACTCCATGGTGTGGCAGGTTTGATCAATAACTATCCATGCCCCGAAAGAGTCGAGTCCATCAATGGCTTGAGATAACCGAAAAATCACTTTCGTCATCTGATTGTAGTGGATGGTGTGTTGTTTTATGTCCCATTTTATCGTCATAGTGCGCCATGGTTTACTGTTGGATGCCTGTTCTGGTGATTTTCTTTTGATGGCTATATAATATAATATATTCAGTATACCAATATATACCAATATTAGGATTTTATACCCCCCCTTATCCCAGGTAAATCCTTCAGTATGTCAAATATATCCCCAAAATCTCTTGGATGTCGTTAATTATATTACGAAACTTTGTTGGATAAATGATAAATTAGATAAAATATGATAAATCCCAATGTCCGGGTTGAATAATCTATACCTATATAGAATTAAGTAACAATATCCGTCCAAGTTTGTGTATATCCTCCACTTCTGAACCGCCTCCCAGGACGCAGCTTGATCTTCGTGCGGGCCGTGAACAGCTCGGAGGAACACTGGAACAGTGGACACCAGGGGCATGTGGAACCACCAAATTGATCCGCTAAAATGGATAGCAGTGAACAGATCTTAACCTGGCAGTGTTTCCGTTTGTTTTTGGATGTGAACTAGATGGCTGCCAGGCTTTTGTGGAATCCATTCGAAACATGTGAACCGAACCGAGCCTCGAGGTTCACATGTTGGGATACCATGTTGATCCACGTGAATCCACACCTGGGGATAGACCGTGAAAACGTACACGCACTGACACTCAACTGATTTGTGGCTTCAGATCACAGTTGTTCAATCTCTGGGGGACTCAATCCCTATTGATTACCCTCTGATTATGACTAACATAGCCATGGTATAGACGGCCCATAGAAATAGATGGTTTACCTATTGAAAATGGGTGGATTTTCCATGGCTATGTTAAATAACCAGATGGTAACATTGAAGGAAGACTGTGGGCCTAAGTTCTTCATCCCAAGAAAAGCCGCCAATGAATCGGCGTCCGAAGCGGAGCCGAAAAACTCTTCGAAAATATGAAATTGTGCGAAACTCGCCCCTCAATCCAGATGAGCAGTGCCCTCCAGTTCACCGTTGTTTCCTGCAATGGAAAAAACAACATTTCATAAACCGCTTCTATGGGAGCTGACTTTCTGGTATCCTCATTTCATAAATCCCAATTGTATCCTCAATGTATCCCCATAAAATGGTGGTCATTTTTGCTAAGTTCTATCCCCAGCCTCTTTCTGTTCGCCCATTGAATGCCATTGAATCCCTAGGAGCTCCTAGACGTGTGCGAGTTGTATCTGACGTTGAAGTTGCACTTTCCAGCGAGCCAAGTACGTTTGGCAGTGCTTATCGACCTGCAGGCACCGTGGTTGATGCTTAGCCAACAATTTATGATAATTCATGTGGGTATGGGTCAATACCTATAGATACATTTTAGTGGGTTATTCACATCCATAAATCCCAGCTATTTTGTCTGAATTTTGCCCAGAATGTTATCAGATACCTTCTGGTAATTTAACATAGCTATTGAAAATGGCCCACATTAAAAATGGTGAGTTTCCATAGTTTTTTGTATGTTTACCAGGCCGGGTATTTGGAATATGTTGGAATCATTCGGATAACATGTGGCTTGAAATCTTGATGACAGGTTGACTTTCTGGTTTCTGCGCAGATAAATCAGGGATTGGTAAATGTCCCATTTTGGGAATATTGGACATCACCTTATAGTAGCCATTATAGACCATATACCTAATGATTGGGTGATGTTCAATGGGGACATTTAATGACCCATGTAAATGAGGAAAGATCTCATAGCCAGCAACAAAAAAAACGTGTAAAGTCGAGTTCATTTGTGATAATTTTGTTGATAGAGTATCAACAAGAATAGCCAAGGCATGATCAAAACGAATTTACCGGTGCACTTGTGGCCAGTATGGGTGAAGAGTGTGGATCCATGGACTCCGCTTTTTTTTTCACCATGAAATTTGGAAATACAAAAACTTTGATCTCTGATCTGCTAATAACATCAGTTTGCCATGTGGGGTTTGATCAAGCTTTGTCCAATGGGCTGTGAAGACAAGGGATGAACTGAACTGCATTGGGTTCCCCAGCTGCGTGCAGGAGGCTGCAGGCGCTTTTTGTACAGAAGACCTTGGAAAAGATGTGATTTTCCTGCCCATCCACCAGGCTGCCTGGTTAGAAAAAAGCCAAGCCCAAGGTCACGCATACGTCCGCGAGATGTTAGCGCAGACCAGTTGGGCCTACTGCCAGGGCATCGCACGGGCCATCCACATCTGGACAGGGGAAAATGTGGCGTGGCTGGCAACTGTGAAACAGCTGCATAGCCGCTTGCTGCAGTTTCAAGGAGGGAATTGTAGGATCGAGTCCTACGAACCGCGATTTGTAGAGACTTCGGTCACCAGCCTTCTTTGGAAGGTCCTTTCTTGCGCGTGAAGTTTTCGAGAAAGTGGTGACAAAGAGCAGCCCAAGGGGAGTGGAAAGTGCGACTAAGGAGGTGTCATTTGTAATTATTCCAGATGCTCTATGCATGGAACATTTACCAACATTTATCCCAAAAATTGCTCATTTTTGTTTTAATGAGTAACACAATATTCCATACATGGAGCATATATAAGAATATAGGACCTATCTGTTTCATCCGTGTCCTCATCGATAGCACCATACATCACCATACCATGCAATGACTTGGAGGTTTTCATTTTGTTCACTAAAGAACGCTTGCCGTTTTAATCAATCACCCTGGATGTTTGCTAAGCTGGCACTTGTCACGCAAGAACGCTTGTCATATTAATCAATCACCCTGGATCTTTGCTTATTGTCACTTGTCATTCCTCACAGTTCCCTCGATCAGCACTTTATGGTCGTTGTGTCATTCCGTCATTGTCATTCAGTCTGTTATTTGTTCATCCATTCAATTAAGAGCTTCAAGATACTGGATTTCGTAGGGTAACTTGTTTTTTCCGTTGTGCCTTGCGGCGGGGTGACTTCCGGTTGAAAGGGGTACGAAAGGTCTCTAGAACTCGTGCTTGATAGGAGACAACGTTGCTGACAACAACTTCTGTCAATTGATGTTTAGTTGAAGAATCACGGTGATTTATTAATATGTTTTAATATACCATAACATGTTATTGTTTTTTTGCATTGAATATTTGTATATATATTTATATTGTTATTCATATTCCATCATATTGGGAACAATAATCCCAACTGACTTTCATATTTTTCAGAGGGATTGGAACCACCAACCAGTATGTATATGTATATGTATATATATATCATATATATATATCATATACAGTATATATACATACATATATATATATATATATCCCATTGAATTAATATGAATATTCCATTAAATCCCATTAAATCCCATTAAATCCCATTAAATCCCATTAAATCCCATTAATATTATCCACTTATCATTGTATCTACCCTAGGGATTATCATTTTCCAATTATCATTATGAGTATTGTCTGCTGACTGCTGGTTGGGAGGATTGCTATCCTTACTCCTGGTGGCGTTTGGAGGTGAGGAAAAATGTCCGTGGAAAGAATGGGGGCTTACTTTAAGGCTTGGTTTATTTCATGGAAAATCCCATTGAAATGGATTATCATATATATATACATAATAAATATATATATATATATATAATATACATATATATATACACGCATATATTATATATATATATATGTATTTATCATATGTGTATATATATATATCATATGTAGTTGGTGATGGGGTGTATATAAAAGTGTGCATAGAGAATATACACCATATTATATATATATATCAGAATATTACACAATCTATAAGTGGGGTTACAGTTGGTAAATGTGGTTGTGGTTTTGCCAAAGCTGGGTCTGGATCTGACTCAGAGCTCCAAAGTCCTTCACCTTTCCGGAGTGAGATTTAAGATTATTGACATTATTGAAGCATTACTGGTTGGTGGTTTCAAACATTGTTTATTTTCCATAATATATGGGACAATCCTTCCCATTGACTTTTATATTTTTTTCGGAGGGGTTGAAACCACCAACCAGATTATGAATTACTATTTTCAACTGATATTGCAGCACAATGATTTTCTTAACGTGTTAGCAACATGTTGAAACGTTTGCTGGACCATTTTTGGGGAAATGTGCCCAAGAGACATGTTTTTTTCAACCGGGAAATGTGCCCAAGAGACATGTTTTTTTCAACCGGGAAATGTGCCCAAGAAACATGTTTTTTCAACCGGGAAATGTGCCCAAGAGACATGTTTTTTTCAACCGGGTCCTTCAGATTCTTTGATCGTTCAGTATGTCTGATCAGGTGGAAGCTATTCGCAAGTAGCCTGAAAATCCCCAAATCCGTTCAGCACCGAGATTGTTCTGTTGGACCCTGAACAACTCATCAAGATCGGAGCGACATATCGCCATGGGATGCCATGGGCTCAGGCGCTTCCTGACTGGGCTGGTGGTGAACTTTTTTGTTTGGGTGCTCTACCCTGGAAGTACCTTGGAGACATCACATCCTGACATCGATCAGGGCCCCCGGCCACGAGAACGCGTTCAGTTGGTGCCTACATAACTCCAATGTCACGAACTGGTTTATGGTACGCAAATAACGAACTAGTTACTGGGGCTTATAATTATAAATCAACTAACATCACTGGGGGGCCTCACATTGTAGGAAACTGATGATAAATGGCTTTGGGGTATCCTTTCTCTTGGGAAATATGGCTTTGACAAAAAGGCTACGCCGCTACGTCCAATGAGAATCATCATGAATCATTAAGCGGGCAAGTAACTAGCTGATGTTCCCTTGGCTCAAATTACGGTTACCGAGTTTTTTCTTTTGGGTGATATAAGTTTCATCATATCATACATATTGCATACATGTACATATATATATATATATTGACTGCGCACATTTGTGTATTACCTTTGTATTACATGTTCTGTATGATTCATGTATATAATTAATATACAATAATATACACACATTAAATATCATTAAATATAATATACAGTATATATATATATCTAGTCAGATTAGTTTAGATTGGAGTATATAGACACAATGGATAGATATTAAATCTAGAATGGAAAGATAGAGAGAGCGAGAGAGAGAAACAAAAAAAACAAAAACAAAAACATATTTCAAGGTAGTTATTTATTGCAGTCCCTTTTCCCGTTCATCTCAACCACACCCCAACATTTGGGCATGGTTTCGGGCCAGTTTCGGGGAACTTCAGTCCCCCAGGTACACCGAGTATCCGTCCCTGTACTGCGGGCCATGCAATGTGAATCGAGGTTCAGCAGCGAGTTTTTCGGTTGCCGCTAAACATGGGTAATGGCACTTAGCTGCTATAGATACCATGCCATACGTTGTATCTTTGAACAGCGTGATTAAACAACGAAACACAATCATGTATCTATATATCTTGATATATCTTGATATTTGCGGCAAAGCCACAAATGAAGCCCAATGTTTGAAGGTCTTTTGAATAAACAAATGCACAATTGGTGAGATCAGGTATGGGCTTCATCGCTGTGTTTGCTGCACCCCTAAAATGACTCAAATACCCCAATGCGTAAGTAATGCAGTAAATACAACAATAAACCATCCCCAATCTTACCATAAATGGGTGGTAAGGGCCATCCGCAAATGGTAGGTTTATGGCCCTGGGTTTACCACATTAGTAATGTTTGGTTCTTCAAACAGCTCATGGAAGCGTCATTTAGAGGTTCAGTGTGCTGGAAGCCGTTGGGAACCTCGTGATGCAATCATGGACTGTCACAATCCTATAGAGGCCACAGAGAAAACCATTTGAAATAGTATGAACCTTTGCGTACATAATAAGATATATATATATATAATTATATGCATAATATAACACGTGTGTATAGTATATAGTATAATTTACATATGTTCAATTAAATGTATAACATATATTTATATATATATGTGATATGATATAGATACTAACATTGATTCATCGAGTTTGACCATGTTCGCCCACCACGCAGATGCCTCGGTGAAACCAACCGATGCGGTGATTTTTCTCTATGTGCACCGGGAGAGTAGCACCTTCAGGCCAGCTCCTATCGGGGAGGTGGCCCCCCAACGATACAAACATAGGAATTTAACCCACAAAAAATTGGGATTTATAGTGGATTTGTGATAGCTAAGTTGATTTATAAAAAGTTATAATAAACCAATTACTGTAGTGTAAGGGTTGGGTGTATGGTAGAGATATCGAAGCAGATCATGGGGTGAATAAACCAACAAACATTTCACTGGGCATCGTCTCCTTGGGTATGTGAACAATGGGATGACTGTTCACCTGAGAGATGGTGAGTTCAAGCCTCCTCCAATGATTCCAAACATATCCGAACATGATTCCTTAAACTTTTGAAAAAAAAAAATGAAACACCTTATTTCTAGAAATTTCTAGACTCTAGACTCTAGACATTGAAAAGAAACACATATTTATGTAATGTCTAGAATTGTCAACACCCCTTGAAGAATGGGAGGCATGCCATCGAAGCAGCTGCCTCCTCTTGGAAGTGAACTGGACCCGGCGAGGGGCTGGATGATCCGTGGAACTTACTGATTTCATGGGATATCCGAATGTCCCTGGTTGATTGGTTATTCTTGGGAGTTATACTACCAAAGTTATTGGAGATTACCAAAGTTATTTAGGAGATTACCAAAGGTAACCCATAGTACGGGAACCGTTTTCAACCAACTAATAGAATGAGATGGGATAGGGGTATTCTATATTGGTTCAGCTGGGTATATGAACTACCGAGAGGTCCAGAATCACGGTGATATTTATAGGATATGGTTGGCTAAAGGCCATGACACCCTGTGGTGGATTCAGCAACTAAGAGCGGTGGATGTCACTCTTCAACATGTTGATAAATCTGGGTAAATGATAACGACCTCACTGCAACCGAAACCTGGAATCATGGTTAATAAGGGAAATCATCCCCAAATGGCCTCAATTCAGGTGAGTGAAATATTATAATTTACCCAAATAAATAATGGGTTTTATGGTGGGTGTTATGATGGGTTTTATGTGGTATTGATGGCTGTGAGCCATCGATTTTTGTCGCAAACAGATTGGTTGGGTCGGTTGACCAAAGGCTGGCTGTTCCACAAAGCAGCTGGGTCAGTAGACCTTGGTGGGATGTGGGCAACCCAATAATGAACCTTCTTTTGGGCATGCATATACCGCCCATTTATGCTGATTTTGGGAATGATTTCCTGGTTTACCACATGAACCATTTTCCACCGTGAAACCAGCCATTTTCCACCATGAAACCAGCCATTTGAAGTACTTTTTGGAAGGACATCTTTGGGCCCCTTTCGGGCCAGCGCCGAGCCGAAAATCGTTGAAAATCCTCCCAGGTATTGCTGCAGCCCCGGTGTCCTACAAGGTCCCTTTGATTTCAGGCCATGACTGGGTGAGTTTGGACAAGGGCAAACGTTGGCTAAAACGTTGGTAGGTCCCACAGGAGCTTTCAAGAAAAAGGTGAGTTGGGTATGGGTGAAAAATGCTTGGGTCATCAATGGAAACACACCATTTTGGTGTATGTTGGTCATATGTTTCTTCAAGTTTGAATCTTACCCTCCAGATCCCTCCAACTCGCATGGATCGCACGGAAACCATGGATCTGTCAATATAGTTTTGTTGTATGCTTGGAGAGGAAACCATCCTTTTTTGGGGGGTCAACGTTTTTGACAGCTGCACAGCTGTTTGGGGCGGCAGGTGCGAGGTGTGTCATGTCAGCACTCGCACTGCAGCGGATTTTGCTGCGCACAACGCCTGGGAACCGATCGATTGAACGTGAATAAGATGGGTGGTGATAGACTATCCAGTAGCGAATGGATCGAGCAAAGAAGCTATGGCATCTATGGGCATCCATATTCCCAAATTGGGGAGCCAGTTGGAGTTACAATCAGAGTTTCCCAACCACATGAAAGCAGGAATAATGTGGTAAACCTATACCAAAATGGGAAAAAAAACAGCACCGCGCTGTTCAAGTTGTGATTTACCTCAAGTGGTAAAGTGATGCACTTGTGCTTGTTTGGCTTCCTACTTGGATTTGGTTGAAAATTGAAAATGGGGTGTATGTTGTGAAATGATCATAAACCATCGGATTTTTGGGGTAATCTACTTTTTGACAGACCTCATATTCACCCGAAAAAAAAATCGAAGGGTGTCCTACACTGTGGGGTTCAGATGATGTTAAGCCCATGGCCCATGGGTCAATAGGTGAGTTTTGTGAGGTTCCTTGCTTGATCCTGGCGGGTGGCAATGGTGGTGTTTGAAACCGTCCGAAGATGGTCAGTACTGTGTAAGGGGAATTATCCCACGATAGCCTTATATTCAGATTAGTGGATTAATTATTGTAATTTGCCCATATAGATATAGCTAATATAGCTGATCTCCAATGTCCAAAGATCACAATCATTGGCTTCATGTTTTTGTTCTCTTTTTTGTGGGTGAATATCCTTTGGTTATCCATTCGATTGTTTGGGATTAGTATCCATTAATAACCATTAATATCCATTCATAACCATTGAAAAGCATTAATAACAATTGAAACCATTAATAACCATTAATATCCATTAATATCCATTAATAACCATTCATATCCATTAATATCCATTAATAACCATTAATAACCATTAATAACCATTGAAAAAAAAACATAATAACCATTAATATCCATTAATCACCATTAAAAACCATTGATAACCATTAATAACCATTAATAACCATTAATAATGATAGTAATATATGATAGTGGATATTAACACTAGTAATCATAGTTCTACTATTATCGATAAATATAACAAAAAAGGACTACAACATCAACACCAACACCAGGACCGACATCAATCGCAACATTTCCAGTCGATGCACTTTCCAGTCTGCTTTTTGATTTGTTTCCAGCACTTCCCCGGCCCCGAGGCAGGAAAGATGCATCGGAAACGCGTGGCTTTGGAGGAGCATTGGGAAGTCTTGGAGCCTCAGAGACTAGGGACCGGAGGGACCCGCTGTTGGGTCGTAGGATGTGGTAGCTTCTGTGGATACATTGGCAAAGAATTATTAAATACCACAAAAGGGTTCATACCTTTTGATATAATTATAGTATCCTTCATTTGATATTGGTATTGTTATCCTTCATTGGTATTATATATTTATACTTATTATACATACCACCAAGAAGGATTCAATAAGGACCGCCAAAATGAAAATAAACCAGGGGGGTCCGAAGGCTTTTTTGAATGGAGTTGATATTAAGGGGAAGGGATTACTATACTTTATTGTACCATGCAAAGATGAGGCTGCCCAAATTGATGGTGGTGGTGGTGATGGTGGTGAATTTGAGGCGACATTGTCGAAGAAGTTTGACTGACGTTTATCATCGATATACCCATTCCAGCATCGCCAAGACATGCAGCGTTTGGAAAGGAACTTCATGTCAAAAGATGATACGGCAAGTCGACTATTCATCTGTGTTGACCACGCATATGTCCACAGCTGAAGGATTTGACCGTCCGTCTAAGACCCAAACGTGCAACAACATGAACCGGAGCAAATTTCATATAGCCTCTCCAAATCTAAAGTTCTAAAGAGCTTTGAGCCCCACAACCAGTTCTTGCTGGCATCAAAGCAGGTAGGTGTATGGTGGAAAGTGGAACAGTTTGCACCGTAGAAGTGGACGATCGAACACCAGGAAAAAGGGAAGGGACGTCCGTTTTTGACTATGACCAAAGGATTGTGACTTCAGGCAGTGTTCTCGAAAAAAATTGGGTTCTAGGATGTTCATGCGAAACAATGGCAGGGAACACCCAATTTGGGTGAGTAAAAACATGTCAACAACCCATCATTTCCTGAAAGTCTTCACTGAAATCATCGCAGGACTTCCCAGGAATTGGTGAAAGGGAAGCTCTACACTTTATACCCTCTGGTAATTTAACATAGCTATGGAAAATCACCATGATTAATGGGAAAATCCACTATAAATGGTCATTTTCAATAGCTATGTTAAATTACCAGAGAGTACCCACCATCTGCTTGTCGAAATCCAGTCCTGTAGATTTCTGCGAAGCCAGTGCGCATTGGGCCTGAGGCCGCCCTCAACGCCTCCCGTGGTCGATTGATGGAAGTGACCTGCAACTCGTTTTTTTCGCAGACGGGGCGGACACCTGGGATGGTGAGCTTTGTGAAGCATTGTGAAGTGGGGCATTTCATGGAGAAATGATGAGAAAATTTATGATGTTTGTGTTTCAATTTTCTTTCCAGGTCATTTCACGATTGTTTGCACCAAGGCAATCTACATGGAGAAGGAAAAGACCACAAGGACCTGCGCGGATGGCTGTGAAGCAGACACGAGTTGGAACCTAACATCTGGTTATGACTAACAGTTCGCCATGGAAAATCCACCCATTTTTAGTAGGTAAACCATCTATAAATGGGCCATTTTCCATGGCTATGTTAAATAACCGGAGGGTAAATATCAGTGAATCTAAATCGATGTTGATTTGATATATGAGTGTTTTCCGATTGATCAAGAGATCATGGCCATGGGAATCTTTTGAACATGAAGGGCCCCAGTCTACATGAGTTCCCCGCAGTTCCTCGGGATGATGCTGATCGAGAATCAAAACCTATGAAATTCCATATGTGCAATGGTCAAAAGACGCTATGAAAGGCTTCAATTACGATCCGCCATCACTACTCAAAACATGTGATTTACTGTGTGTAGCGATAGGGGGCCTTGTGTAGCGATACCTCTTTTTAGACTTTGTTTATGATTGAGCCTTCCTGTTGGGCGCATGACTTTCCAATCTTTTGATGTCAGAGTGCGACACTGCAGCAGTCGCAGTGGGCTGGTCTTCCTGGGTAGTTGCAAGATGGCCTGTCGTCAAGTATATATGAGATAGTTACATTAAACAATGTTGATATATTTGGGTATGTTGATCTATAAGGTATGCAAGAAACTAATTCATAACGCATCATGAGCTTGATGATGGTGATGATGCTGATGATGATGGTGATGGTGATGGTGATGATGTTGATTCAGATAGTGACCGTGCTGAGATATGTTGAAAAAGCATCCTTGTGCGGTCACGGACGCTTCTCCAAAGCCACTGTCCAGGAGTAGAATTGCAACATAAATTCTTGTCAGAATTTCGTGTCACTTGAAACATACCCCTGAGATCACACATTTTCTGGTCCCCGTAGCGATGCCCGAAGCGATACCCCTCGATACCCAGAGCGATACCTGAAATCCATGAAGTTAGGGAGTACCCCACATGGTCACTTGAAACTATACAACTTGTTTTCTATTTGCACACGTCAGTAGCTTCTAGAGTTTTGCCGCGTTCCAAAGAGACGCTCACAGGCATTCGCAATTTGCTCAGCGATTTGTTCACATGTCTACCTGTTAGGGAGAAGTTGCCGATTCATTGTGGCGTGGTATTAGGTTGCAAAGGAGGCGGGGTGAAGAAAGAAGGGCGCCGGAAACAAGGCAGCACAGGCAAGACACGCCAAGACAAGCCAACACAAGCCAAGGGCAGCCTCCGAGGTCAGATGACCTGCAGTGAGTCCGGCTGGTGTCTAACTGAAGCTGTCGACGTCAGCCTTGGTGATCACGTAAAAGTTTGAATTTCCCTGGAGATACCATCGCAAGGGGAATAAAAATCCGATTCTTCATCTGGATCTGGATCCTCCTCTTCTAGCAGCGATTCTGCCTAGTTGGTGAAAAGGGTGCTGGGACTGTGTGTCGCGATAGGGGGCCTTGTGAAGCGATGCCATGACCTCACCACATGAATTGAGTTTTGACCGTCGCACATATGAAATCCCTATTCCGGCAGTTCACATCCAGAAGTCCCAGCAGTTGGGGTTTTCACAGGGGATTCCATGGATGACTTCACCATAGCCATGTTTAGCCGCTAAGCCTCAGGACGTGTCTACGGTGTCTGCAATGGTCTTGTTGGCATCCAGACTGTTCTGGTGTGGAGCTTGGTGGAGGATTATATGTCATGTAATGTGTTTGTGTTCTCCATGAATGCATGGAAAATTGTGTTTTTGTACCTTTCTGGTACGCTGGCCGCAGCTGGTGCCTTACCATACCTTAATAGATACAATGTGAGGCCCCCAAGATAGCTAAGTTGGTGCACATGACTCCAATAAACTATGGTTTATGGCACGCAAATAACGAACTAGTTTCTGGGGCGAATCTAAGCCAACTAACATCACTGGGGGGCCTCACATTGTAGAAATAGATAGCAATTTCTGTTCCAAGGTTTTCTACGGGATTTCCTTCTGAATCCGGAAATCCGGCCACAGGTGGGTCTCCACCTACTGTCCCTGCGGTCCTGCCGCTCCTGGTGTCACAAAAAGGGGGCGGCAAAATCTGACAAACTGAACAGGCAACATGTGCAATGTCCCACAGGCAAAGGGAGAAAACTGATCTTCCAAACTCTATGACAAAGCCTTGACATTCGAAACTCAAACCCCGCGAGTTTTCCCATTGGAATTGCGGATGCCAAAAATTTCTTGATAAACCCGTACCCATAGGATCCATGGTGCTGGTATATATGCTAACATGACTGGGGTATATTGATGGTAAATGTTACCATATACATATACATATATATATATAGCATACATGGATCCTATGGGGTATGAATAATTATAAATTATAAATATTAAACTTCTGTTTGTGTTCCTTGACGACAGCCAATCTATTCGGGTGTGTTCAGCAATGTGATCCTATCATGAACCTGACTCATGGGCCCCATGTCGATGGACAATCACACATGTTTGAACCATGTTTGAATCAATGGATATGCCGCATGTTGAGATTTGTGAGTTGATGCAGCCCACTTGAGACATCAAGCAACCTAAACAGCAGCACTAGGATGCACTCGGGCAGAATGGGCCAGAGATCCAAAGGGGGATATTGTTTATTCCACGTTGAAGAAACATCTTGCAGCGATTAAAATCGGGACCGATAAACATACGGCAGGCATTGACAAGGTCTTTCCCTTTGTTTGAATCATACTTCTAAAATCTTCTAAAGTTACCCTCTGGTAAACTAACATAGCTATTGAACATTGCCATTTATAATTGATTTTCCCAGTCAAAATGGGGATTTTCCATAGTTATGTAAACGTTTACCAGAGGGTAGCTGTGTAAATTTCTCTGTGTGTTCTATGTTTCTAAAGAGTTTTCTTGACGTAGGCTTGGTTCAACGGAACGTTGAAAAAACCCATCGGGCGAAACTGGGAAAATCTACGGATTCAGATGATTCATAATTAGCAACCAGTTTTGGTCAACGGAACAATCCAAGTTGATATATCGTGATATTGACTGAAACAACCATCAGATAGGTTGATATATATAAAGATATATGACAATATTTGATGATATATGATGATGGGTTAAAATATGGTGATATCTTTATCATTTCTCCCATTTTTCACAGCCATTCTCCCGTGCCGTTCCCGGCATGCCGCGTCTCCAAGTGCATCCCATCGCCTCCCGCGCCCTCGATGTGGACCTCGACGATGGAACGACGCTGGCGGCGTTGAAGCGGGCGCTGGCGGAGCGCACGGGGATCGCGGTGGAGGAGCAGCGGCTGGTGCTGCGTGGCAAGCTGCTGGAGGAGACAACTGGGGCAGGTGTGAAGGTAGAGTTATAAATCTATTTAAAACAATTTTAGAGATATATCTGGTAAATCAAAGATGGCAATGGAAAATAATCTACAGTAAATAGAGATTTGTTCCTTGCCATGTTTGATCTTTTTAGATCGTAATTAGCCCCGGTATCTCACAAAACTTGGAAGCCCCGTTTTTGTCGGATACCACTTGCTAAAGTTGTTGGGATAATTGGTCATTCTGTTTTGGAGGGTATTTCAGAATTTCAGACCTCAGGCTAGATGTTGCAGGCCTAAGTAGATTTGGGTTGGACATTTCTGGGAGCAGTGAGGATGGGGTAACGCAGCCTGCCTGTACTAAAGTGCTAAACGATCAAACGATTGGTGAATTCAGCAAAGGAACTTAGATTTGATGTTGTGTTGCTTGAAGTTTTCAAGTGCCATGTTACATCATTGTCCACCTCAAGAATCCTACAGATGTGGTCCATTGCTGGCATGATCGACCCTCTTGGCCACATCACCACGGGTAGGTAGTTCCAAATGTTCTTTGGTTCTTCCCTTTTGCTAGTCCGTGTGGTAAACTAACATAAATGTAGACATGGAAAATGATCTGCATGTTAGTTTGCAGGCGGGCATACATTGAAATACCATATAAAAGTCATCCTGGAGATTGGAACATGTTTTCCTGAAATGAGAAGATCTTTGAACATCGACTTCTTTCCAGCTTGACATATGGGTTTGTCTGAAAATAGGGTATATTCCCAAACAAATAGCCATAAAAAATAGGGATAATGATCAGCAAAACCATTGGGTTTAGGGGTACACAACATTTTCAGACACACCCATATGATTTGCTCAAGGAATTTTGAGGGATGGGCGGCTCACCCTGCAAAAGGATGACGTTGACGTCTCTTCCATCGATGGACGCATTTTCCTGGCGCGGAGAACCACTGGACGTCGCGGCGAGACTGAAGAGGTTCAACTGACCGTGAAGATCCTTGTCGGAGTGGTATAACATGGTATAACATGGTATAACATGGTATAACATGGTATAACATGGTATAACATGGTATAACATGGTATAACATGGTAGAACAGCTGGAATATGTATGAACATGTTGGGTCTTTAATTTTTGGGCAACTCTGGAGAATAATTATGAATAGATATGGTCATAGCCTGCGGACATTGTTTGGCCGAGGATGGTGGATGGGGTGTCTCATCCAGGGATTCGAATCAACAGCTCCTTGGATCGTTTGGCCCGGGACTTTCAGCAAGAGGCGCGCGGCATGCCGGGCGCCGCGCGGCTGCCTGGGGATGCCTGGGCCAGTTCAACCAGTTCAACAGGAAGGGATACCCTCTGGTAATGACTAACATAGCTATTGAAAATGACCATAGAAATAGTGGATTTTCCCATGAATCATGGTGATTTTCCATAGCTATGTTAGTCATTACCAAAGGGTATGAAGACCAGAAGACCACATTTTTCCCGTTTTTCCCACGTTTCTTTTGCATCATGATCATCATGGCACTGGGATGCACTCGGCAGCCAGTTGAACTTCAGCCATGGTTTCACGAGGATGAATTCTGGACACTGTGTGTCGTTAATGGGTCCGAGGACCCATTGATTTAACCATAAAACATGAAAAAAAATGCAGGAAGTGGATTCCTTGTTCAGCAAAAAAACTGATGTAATTACTTCTATTCTATAGTCCATTCTATAGTTCTCTTGATATTCATAGTTCATATCATCGTTTGTTTTCATTGCAGGTTCCATCCGCAGATACCCAGGAAATCCCAGGTACCTGTTGGCTCACCATCCAGGTCTTGCTTCAGATGAATTTACCTCTCGAACTTGGCTACAAATTTGTGACAAAGGGCCGCTTGATTAGCGAGGTGCTGGAATCTGGGGGGAAACTGGGAAGACCTGGCCTGGTGACTTGAAGATGATCTATATCTATGTATATTAATATATATATATATACCATATCTGTGTGTGTGTGTTGAGGGAGGCACGCTCAAATGACTGCAATCTATCACGAACCAATCGTCGAAGGTCATCCAAAGACAACCCAATGGACAAGACAAAAATGGTCGATGGATATGCTACATATGGCGAAAATTGACCCTTGACCAAAACACCTTGGGATGGTTGCAAGAAGCAACAAACGTTTTGTGGGTCGGTACCCGAGGTTTTAGACATAGCAACATATGTTTTGTTTCTGTAAGGTCCAAAGTTGCAACACATACAGTATCAAAATGCATTAAACGCAGTCTCTCAAGCAGCTTGAGGGTCCAAACGGTGGTCGTGGGTCAAACTCTGCTACCCTTGAAAAAACAAGTGACAGAATGATAAAAAAAAAATGGTGTCAAAACAATTAGACCATGCTTGGGCGGGATGAACATCTGATAATTTCCAGATATCACCAGGGTACCAAGGCTTTGATCCCTAAACTCGGAAATGCAGACCTGGTGCCCAACTATCCCAACATATCCCAACTTACTAGGCCAAAATCAGGATTACATTGATTACATGGGTCCAATGGGTATCAGTGATATCAAGCTATTGGTGTTGACAACGATGAACCTCGATGCAGCTCAGCGGGATCCCGGATGAGCAGCACTGCCATGGCCAAGATTTGGAACGCGGATTTGGCCCATGCAGCGGAAGTCAGGGTATCTGGGCACCCAAAAACGGGTGGTGGCCGAGAAACGGCAGAGATTTTGGTGGAATCGTGGGGATATCATGGTGATTTTTGGAGTTTTTGGTGGGGAACATCCTGGGGATACAACAGATTTCCTTTGGGACCCATGAAGCGGGGCATCTCTGCGATACATGATAGGCATCTACAGAGTTGGGTGCCCTCAGAGAATGGACAGCCACCATATGTATATGATTGTATATGTATATATATATATATATGTACACACATACTTACCTCGAAGAACTACTTGCAAGCGAGGGTCACATACCCTTTCTAGATATGTTGACAATGTTTGCTTGTTTGTTTTAGTTTTTCTCCGAGCTTCTATAGTTCCTTGGCGGATAGCGATGATGGCCGAGGTGTGGTATCACCAGTCCAAAGGCAGCTCCAAGGAGTTCATGTGGCGCAAGGCTCATGAAGCGTCGCTGGGCGTGACAACGCTGTGGGAGAAGTCTTTGAGGCTTTTGCTGATGGTTCAAAGATGTTCAAACGATTGAAGCAACAGCAAATTGGGAATTGTATGGAATTGTCCAAAAGTGGGGTGAAAGTACAGATCAATTTGGAAGAGTGGGATGATGATCCTCAATTGATGTTCCATTTTGATTGGGGTTAAACCACCAACCAAACAGTGACGCATTGCTAGGTGTGCACTACCACCACAGCCTCTAGATGCGGAGCATTGTTTGCATTTAGCTGCGTTAGAACGTAGTGGTCTAGCTAAGCACATGGCACACTTGCAACTTCAGTGAGCACTATGACTGTGGCACACTCTCCAGGACTTTACAAAACCCAAGCCGGTCGGGCATAAAATAAGTTTCCATTTCTTCAGTGTGAGTTCAAAATTTGGACCCCCATGTTCATCCTCCAAGTGGGTTCTCTGAAAATAAGGTGCCCCTCGAATTTGTTGATGATAATTTCTCATCATATTCTCATTCACATTGCCATTTGGGTCTAGTATGTAACCTAATATGTGGGACACAGCCATTTAAGACAGATTGCCCTTCTGTCAAAAATCGCAACTCCGTACACATGGATTCAGTGTATATAGTCTATATATAGTGCCATCTGGTTACTTAACATAGCCATGGAAAATCACCATTTTTATAGGTAAACCATCTATTTCTATGGGCCATCTATACCATGGCTATGTTAGTCATAACCAGAGGGTTTTTCCGATTTGACACTGCCGATCATCCTTGGATGTTTCTCAGGATCTTAGCAGTGGAGAAGGAGATTCGTCAGTACAGCAGCGGTCGGGTGGTGAACATGCCCAAACTCAAGGAACGCACCACGCTGCTGGAACTAGAGGCCATCCTACGGGGAGAGCCTCGGTTTTTGGGGGAAACGCATCGAGAAGGTTTTGGCCCCTTTGGAGCAGCCTTGATGTTCAAATATAGTGTTATAAACTGTTGGAAATATATAGAAATATATATATATATAAATATTAGATACATGTTGTATAATAATTATATATGATATCTAGATTATCTATGTGTTGTATGTATGTGTTGCGTAATACGCAGACCCCAAGACATTACATTGGGGAACAAAATAGCTATCAAAAGTCCAGAGTTATTAATGGATTTGTGATAGCGAAGTTGATTGAACCAGTTAACTAGAGTGTACAGAGTATGTATATATATATATGTATATATTAGAGTTGGTTGAGCTAACTTATTAACTAAATTTGGGGTAGATATATCGAACTTGCGCATGGCGGTTATACACCAACAAACATAACTTGAGGGTACTACGGTACTACCCTGTATGGACTGGAACATGCTTTGTTGGGAGGGTGAATGGATTCATTTGGATAAATTTGACCACGACCTCACGTTGCGACGGAACAATGGAATAATGGTTAGTAAGGGCAATTGTGAAGACAAGGCCTTATTTCAGGTTGGTGAATTATCATATTTTTAGCAACATGTTTTGCAGGTATCTATATAACTATCTGACAAGATCAAGTAGCCCGGCAGATGGCCCATAGATGGTCCCCAACCTTGTCAGTCCCCATTTTTGAGCCTTGGCTAAGGTGGCTCCCCCTTAGCCCCCTAGATAGCTAAGTTGGTTTATAATGTAAACATAGGTACCCTCTGGTAAACTAACATAACTATGGAAAATCACCATTTTTAATGGGAAAACTCACTATATACTATAAATGACCATTTTCAATAGCTATGTTAAATTACCAGAGGGTAAACCATGATTTAGGGTAGATGTATCGACAATAAACCAACTTGTACTGTGGGACGCCGCATTGTAGCAAGTATTTCATTTATGTGACCCCAGTCTGGAATTATTTTCTCTCAGCGCTGCATCCAAGGAGAAACCCATCGTGCCGCCCGAGATGCAAGAAGCAGAACCAGTGGAGCGAGACTATGCACAGCATCCCTACCTGAAACGCATGCAGTTTCGCGGCGGTGGCTATGCCATTCTGATGGCCTTACATTTAAGATCTGCAAGTGCAAACCTGCGACAGTTCATGTACAAGTCACTCGGATTGAGATGATAGTTCTTGGTGGATAGGAATGGATAGGGGCCATAGTGTGGGATCTTCTGCATTCACAAATGGAAGCTGATGAAAATGAAAGCAACGAACCACTCCGAAGAGACTGCTCGGCAGTATCAGTAGACAGTCCCAGAGTCTCTGGGTTTCAAGACTCTACAGCTCCGTGGTTGCAAGACTATAGGAAATAGTTTCAGTCTCGAAGAGATACCCTCTGGTAAACTAACATAGCTATTGAAAATGACCATTTATAGTGGATTCTCCCATTCATCATGGTGATTTTCCATAGCTGTGTTAAATTACCAGAGGGTAATTCATTCCTAAAGCAAAGTGGTGACCTCCATGTTTTCGGTATGTGGTGTTTCAGTTCCAACATAGCTGAAAAACTACGACAACGATGATGGGTGAATGACGACGATGACGATGACGACGACGACGACGATGACGACGATGATGATGAATCATGAATCATGATGGTGGTAGTCATCACTTTAACTTTTATTGTTATTGCATTGATGTTTCTTTAGTCTTCGTTGTTGAGGAATCAGCCGCTGATCGCCAGGTCTGAACTCATCCATGACGCGCAGCCGTACTGTGACGTTACCATGGAGGGTGGCTGGGGCGCAGCCAATGGTTGGACGTCCATCCGCTCCTTGTGTCCTGGTGTGGTGGTGGATGTTGGGGATGCGCATAAAACACCAAACCAATGGTCTGACATGAGGGTTGTTAGCCACCAACAACCAATATATATATATATATATTATATATATATATTATATATATATATATATTATATATATAATCATGGCTGATTAACATTTACTAACCATCTATTTTTGGTTTGCTCTTTTTTTGCTATTTAGGAGTGGTTCACACTCCCTAAGTCTGTGGAACCCCAAAGACTTGGAGGAATACTATGATCTTCATGCCAAGGGTGGGGGCCGGTGAGGCGGCTTGGGGGATGTTGAGATGGCCAAAAAACTGTGGACAATATAAGTTATAGGTACTGGATGCGGCAGGATTTTGTATACGCAAGACTTATGGATTTTTAACTGTTTCAAACAAGACTCCGATGACTCTTGCATCTGACCCAAAGCGTCGGTCTCTCTGCGGTTGGGATATGACTGGACGTAGGTAACTAGGAACATCTAGGAAATAAGAAGTGATATAATTAGGAACCAACAGCAGGCATTTACCCAAGACGTCGCGGGTGTGATAAAAATCCAAACAACTCCCCACGCTTCGTTGACAAAATCCAGCCACTAGATCCGGCCAATCATCTAAGAGATTGGCCGTGGGTAGTAGTACGGATAAACCCCCGTTGTAATATATCCACTGATGTTTTTGGATGTAAGTCAGTTTCCCAACTATTTCCCAAGACATAGAAAGACATAGATATAACAGATGTAACAGATGATAATAGTTTATTCGAAGCATAGCTGGATAGATAGCTGGAATCTAATTTATTAAATCATTAATAGATTATAAATATGCTATATTATAGCTGTCATGTTTGGGGATCGCTGCTCCGAGGTTATCCCACCGCCTGGTGCTGTCTTCCAAAGGCCCACAGGGCGGGCGCGAGGAGTTTCACCTCACTCCCGAAGGACAGCGCTTCGTGACGGCCATGCTGCAGCGCTGGGGCGGCGGAGCGCCCGGGAGAGCGGGAGATGGAGATGGTGGTGACTGGGTGAAGTTTAAGTGGATATAAGATGAGATAAGTGGATTTAAAAAACACTACGGTTGAGTGATGTTTTTTTCTTTTTGAATTTGAAGTTGAGTGACAACACTATATTTTCATGATCTGCAGCCGTGCCTTTGAGTGGTTTCTATTTACGGTACCTCACTCCCAGACTTGATTGAAGGTGTTTTTCTTAATCAAAACAATTCTTGGGTGAGAATTGCTACTTGGATTGGAGGATCATCCACTTACTAAGTGGTTGATATTATAGATCGGATCACCCACTGAGGGGCCGGACATGCTAACACTTGTTACCAGTTCCTAAGTGGAATGATCCTCCCGTTTTGCTGCAGAATCGATCCATTGATCTTCGCTTCCAAGGTGAGGCCGAGAGGAACCCAGCCATGGTCTCCCCATCTGCCGCGGCACGGGGCCGTTCGCGCGGCTGTTCGCGCTCACGCGGCGCGCGTCCCCGCTGGGCTGCGCCCACCTTTCGACCTGCGGCGGCGGCGGCGGTGCGGGCGGCCCCGACGCCCTGTATGGCGAAGCCTGCTGTGCAACAGGAGCTGGAGGAGATTGAGATTTCTAGTCACTTCATGCAGTTTTGGAAGATGTTGGAAGAATTGTTGGCTATTTTGTGTTCTGAATCTTGAATGTTGTCTCCAAATTCTGGAACTGTAAATGTTGGTCTGTTTAAAGGACCAATTGGACTGCCAAGCTGATGCGAAGATGATGCTAAGCAGTTGGATGGTCTTTTGGGGTTCCCACACTGTTGTGTTTGTACAGGTGCAAACTAGCGAAACTACGCATATGCTTTTCTATCTGCTTGGTTCCACTCAAAATACATTGATTCTATATATATATATAGATAGACAAATGCAGGTGTTTGCTCAATTCCTCTCTTGGTAAAACCAGTTTTCAGGTGAGTCGGAGTCAGCTCGCGACGTGGAAAGTCGATCTCAAGTGGTGTTGCTGGTGGACGAACGCGTGCCTTGGCACCATCCACGGCGATGAACGCCTCCCCTGCCCATGGGGGAAGGAACATTCATTTGGGGGGTTCTTAAAATGATTTGAAGGTATACCCCATTTTAGGAAACCACCATTTACCAGCTATTTAACATGTTATTTTCGTGTGTGAACAGAGCCGGGCACCAGGGTTTTGACCCATAGCACATTTTACTGCACCGACCAGGCCTGACAGGACAGTCTCAGAGAAAATGGGCTTGGAAGAGCATCAAAAGCCGAGTGAACGGCCATGGTTCAGATCCCAAGTACGCTAGAAAAAAGGGGCGGTATATGTTATATCATGTTATACCAATTTTGGAGATGTAATATCCATTTAAACATCACTTGATCTGGCTATTTGCTAATATTTCCAGGTGAATTATGGTGAATTATGGTGAATTATGGTGAATTATTCCAAACATGCCAAAAAGGATACTGGATTTGATAGCGGCTTGGTCCCCATTTGCAGGTTCCCTTGGTTTTTCTTCTCCGGTCAGCACAAGGTGATGTACCCCCCAGTTATAAATGGATTATAAGTCTTACAATCCCATTATCTATATATAGACAATAGATATATCACCAACCAAAACCATTGTTATTGGCAAGTTGGTGGTTTCAAACATGTTTTTATTGTTCCATTTCATATATGGGATGTCATCCTTCCCATTGACGAACTCCATCATTCTGCAGAGGGGTAGGTCAACCACCAAGCAGTTTTGTTAAGTTATTGGACTATAAACCCTATAGTAAGTATAGAATAGTATAGATATATCTACCATAAACCATAGTTATTGGACTTATTGGCACCAACTTAACAAAAATTTTGGGGCACCACCCGACCCTGCACCAACTGAGCCGAGCCGGTCCCAGGAGCGTCTTCGGAACACCGAGCCTCGACGCTTCTTCGAGCGCATCGAGAGCATGGCGGCGGCCGGGCGGCGGCGTTTGAAGCTGGGGGACTTTGCGTGGACCTTGTGGCTGGGAACGGAGTGGGTTATTTAAGCCATCTAAATGGTGTATCAAAATTATGGTGAATTATATTATGGTGAATTATGGTGAATTATGGTGAATTATCCCACGTAATAAGCCATTTAAATGGATAATATGACGAAGTGGGTTATATTTGAGATGGTGATAAAGATGATTTCAAGCTGGGTGATATATAGACCATTATAGAATATGCATCATTGGATGGTGATAAAGATGAAATATGATGAAATGAATATGATTGAATTGGTTCTTTTCTGGGATTTTATGGTGATTTTTCAGCTGTCACATAGCTGTGATTTTAGGGATGACAATGGATGAACATGGCCCATAAAAAGTGCGTTGATTTACACTGAATAACCTACCCAGGAGGTTTCCGATTCGTCATGGGGGTACCCCGAAATCATCCTGTCCTTAGACCATTTTAGTATTGAATCCATAGTTTTGGGGATCACTTGATATCAAGCCGGAATTAATAAACCCCTAGTTTACTCGTTGGCGGGGTACCATTTATGAAGGGACAAAAAGGCTATTTTCGGAACCCACCAGGTGAATGAATTGGGTGTCAAGATTACTGTAGCAACCCACTTTTATATGGAAGAAGCCTACTTAGGGGGCTTAATTAGGGGCCTTACTAACCAGGATTACTAACCAGTTAGATGGATGAACCTCCTAAGTGACAATTCAACAAACTCCTTCCAAAAGGTAGCCCTTGCAAAGGTGGTTGTTGGTGGATTAATGAGCTTTCATAAAACCCAACAATTGTCGTTGTTGGGGGATTGCAGCAGGTACACCCCCAAAATTTAGCCATCAATAATGAGATATCATGGGGATTAACCAAGCAAACGGAGAAAAAGGGGTGTGGAAGATGTTTTGCAATATTTCGGAGCCATAAATAGAGGTTTCGTGTTAAATTTAGCGGCTGTATTGGGATGAGTCAATCTTATGACCGATTTATTACCACCTATAATTATATATTATATAGACGATTTGTCCACCCCTGGTCCCTTTTAAAGCTGCCCTCTCATGTCTTCAGCATGAAGCTCCCTCTTTCAACATTTTCAACTTTAACCTGTTTCTGTTCATTCTTTTGCTGGAACCCATTCTGGCATGACGTCTTGCAATATGAGAACTGTCAGTCATTTTACTGGTTCTCCCCACTCTCAGTTTAACCTCTGTTGGCTAAGTTTACGGGCATTTTTCTTCGCAAAGAATGGAAGGTCCAACCCTTCACCCTTACAATGTGGGTTTGTCTAAATATATACTATATAAATATACTTATAGGGTAACCCAAACTTTGAGGTGTTTCTCTAAAAAGCCATGATTTATCCACTCACAATCTCACATTGTTGAAGGGGTTATTCCGTTATTCGGTATACCAAATTTATATTTTCAAAATTTACATCATCAGATGGACATTAAATATTGTTCAACATCCCCACTGTTTCATCATTAAATCCCATTGTAAGTCCATTCTGAAGTCCGTATGTTATTAAGATTCTTCCTATTCTTCCTTCATCGAATGGCCATTTTCATGGAAAATGGAGGTTTAGTTAAGTCACCCTGTTCTTCCCTCATCAAATGGCCATATTTTCAATGGGAACATGGGAGGTTTAAACATGTTCGCTGCAAACCCTAGGTTTGCCCGCGGCGAATCCCTCATATCCTTTGACATGCTCAAATCCCTGCGTAGGGTTTGAGTTGTTTACTTTCCAAAACAACAAACCCTAAAATACCCTAAAACCTAGATTAAACCCTAAATCCTGAAAACTTACAGTCACGATCACTGCGTATAGCCAGTGTTTTCATTTATCCCCTGGTGATAAGTGTATCATATTGTTTGGATGTGTTGTTTTTTCGTGTGGGCGAACGTGTGGGCTTTGGAGGGAACATGTTCATTCCAAGGTCTGAAGGTCCCATGGTGGACCTGCTTCTGGAACGGAAACGCATCGAAGATCTGGTGGGACGCTCTGCAAAAGGAGATCACTTGCGGCAACTGCGACGGATGGACGCCTGGATGAAGCCGTGATTTTTTTTGATTTTTGTTGGCGGATGAAGCACGCGCAAAAAAACCATGGGATAGATGGGATTTAGATGGATTTCAGCTGGATTTGTCGATGGATTTCAGATGATTTGACCATGAAAAATGCTGGGTTTTTAGCAGTGACGAATGGATTTCATACTGTGTGATGGGACCATCAAGAATAGTTAATTTAAATTAATTTAACATCTTTGACCAGTGAATGTGAATCCTGGCGATTTCGGGCACTGAGCAGTGGCTGCCATCAAGCCTAGGGCTTGTGGAGATCCAGGGAGTGTCACAATCCACTGGGAGTCTGATTGCCCAGTGGCGGAGTGGATGGAAAATGGACGGTTGAAACCCGTTGATCGGTAAAAAATAAAACCTTCTTTTCAACCATAGATTTTACATGATGTTCCCTTACATCATAACTGAATCGTAAACATTCTATGTGTGAATCCCTATCAGCCGAGTTAAAGTTCACTGGAAATTGTCGTTGGAACTAGGGCAATAAAACTGGTTCGAGGTGGTTTCAATATATTTCAATGATGAATCTAATCGTGGAAAGGATTCCTCCGGCAGCCTGCGACCCTGACACCAATCCCTTCAAGGTATCGATCGAATCTGAGGACGTCTAGTCACATTGAAATGATGACCTTGGGATACCTTGGGGAGACTGACAGTTTTCATTTCCGGCATGTTCGTTGGCATCGGTGAATGCTATACAGCAGGGGTTGGGTATTCATGGTATTCCATCATCACATATCATCACCTTTCTTTGGTAACTCCTGGTATTCGGAGAGCTCGTTTGTTTAGTCCTATGGTTCTCATCGCAGCTGATCTCATTTCACCCCAGGAAAGATCTGGTTTGCGACATCTGTTCTTCCTGATCGAGGGGAACCAGAGCCAGGCCAGCAACTGCACGGTGTATGACACAGAGGAAGCCAAGAGTTTGGAGAGCGCCATCTATTGCAAGGAAGCTGGGTCGTGATTTCAACATTTCAACAGGTGTTTAAGTATGTTTACAGTAATTAAAAGATTATGACTGATTATGAAACTATTACATGATAGGGTCCTATATTGATGTAATCAATGGTTCCAATGCGCCAGACTTGGGGGTTACAGTTGTAGTTGTAAGATATATTGTCCAGACAGACATACTCGAGCTTGTGCTCAATAGGCGCCTAGAGGAGCAAGACCTCTTTAAATTGATGATCATAGAATATCAGAACCATGATTTATCATGTCTTGCCCGTGACAGTTACAGTATTTGTTTTCTCTCAACAGAACATATCAAAAACAAGTTGAACCAAACTGTATGTGGGCTGCGTGACGACACGAGGAAGACATTGATGCATTCTGTGCGCAGCTGATTGTTGATGGCTCCAAGGCGCGAGTTGTTGCCGGATGATTTGTATTTTTGTCCATTACAGCGCAGGTGATTTTAGATATGTCGCGTGTGGCTCAGAAGACATGAAAAGACATGGTTGGTATATAGATTCCGGTAGACATCGAATATCAGTCCAAAATTGTGGGTTTCCACTGGGTATCAGCTAATTCATATAACTCCTAGTAGCTCGATAAAAGTGGCAGATCCCGAAGTTTGAGCATAGGATTTATCAGACAACGCACATTGGTTTTCCATATGCCTCCAGGTTGGTGTTTTGCAAACCAGAGATTCAGCTGGAACAATTCGCCTGTTGAAATCAATCTCCAACTGGCTCGCTTGGACGCTGGCCGTGTGCCATGGTGAGAACAGCCACTCTTCCGGGTGCGTCATTGGAACATATTGGAACCTTATCGTGGGGAAACTGATCATTGACAGAAGTGTGGGAATCTTATCTTCCTACCACTCATCATTGTGGTTTCATGTCAGTTTCCGGGGCAATACACCAATATGAGGATGTAGAACACTGCTGGAACTGCAATCCAGGGGTTTTGTTAACTCCAAATAATATATTCAAAGAAGGACGAGCTATCACGAGCAATATGGACAGGGATGTGCGCAGCGATGGGGCAAGGGGATGTTCTTCAAATGTCGGAGCTTCCCGGAATCCCGTGGGGCATCCCAAATCATGCCAAATTAGCGCAGTTTAGTGTTGAATATTGAAAGCTATGGCTTTGGAATCCCCCATTTATTATGTTAAGGAACCCGGATATGGATGGATATGGAACCTCCAAAATAGATTTGAAAGACCCGGTCTGTCCTTTCCGTGGTAGCTTTCATGCCTGTATCATGGGATACTTGATTACGATCACATTTTCTACGTAGCACTTTTAGCTAAGTCAGCTCCACCATGGGGAGATTCCCCTCAGTACTGTGATCGCTTCATTGCTCCAGGCATCCTGAGAATCGGTGTTCTGTGTTAACTGGCACCACTCTGCATCAGTTTGAGATGGAGCTGCCTGATGGAATGTCCACGCAGGAGACCGTGAGAAGCTGCAGTCGATGGAAAAATCAGTCATTGGTTGCCCCAAAATGATCCAAAAAGGATAGATGGATAGGTCTTATAACCAGGCTCAGACACTTGCATTGACCCATACCAAATTGGTGTATTGCTGTTTTTATCTTCTATTGTCTATGTGCTTGGCATGATGGACACGTTGAAGCAGCCCACATCTCTGGTCTCAATATGTCTCTATCCCACTTGAAGTTAGTGACTCCTCTTTTGGGGATCAAAGATTGAAAGGACGTGTCGAGGTTTAAAAAAAATCCTGTGCAGCATAGAATTTGCCAAACTCATGATCGACTCGAGGTGTAGCAATGAATGCTGAAAACTTGCAAAGCGGAATGCTTGGGACTGGTCACCGCATTATAAGATGGAGCTTTCCAATCCATGGGGGTACCTCCAAATTCTTTTATTGTGTCAAGACCATGACTTAGATCTTGAAACCCATGGTGACCTGGGGATCCGCAGGACGCCTTGGGAGCCATGCCGGCGTCGAGAACTGCTCAGACGCTGTGGCATGGGGGCTGTGGTAGAGCTCAGACGGACGCATCGCCCCATTGCACGGTCACAACCCAACCTCTCATATAGAATTTGCTGTTCAGACCAAACCTAAATGGTTGAGGTCTATCCACAGGAATTTTCACGCTGGTTACATCCTTGGAAAATCAGAGAAATTCAGAGAAATCAGTTTGCCAAGAGGAAAATTCCTTAGCTGAATCTCAAAAGCCTCCAGGGCTTCCGTCTATAGGAGCTGACGAGGGGGTACGTATAACATATCCTAAGTGGCCGCGCATGCAAAACATATGTAAAACTCATATGAAACATACACATTTACGTTGGTGGAACGTATGTGATGCGTATGTGCAGCGCAAGTGAAAACATATGTGAGCCGTATGTAAAACATATGTGAAACATATGTGAAACATATGCGAAACACATGTGACACATTAACGTATTTTGGGAATGGATTGCGTTGTGTTTATGTTTTACTTCTGTATACGTTTGCGAATTTATGTGTTTTTTAATGTCGGAGGAAAAATAAGACCTTATTTTGTGCAAATCAAGCAAAATAAGGCCTTATTTTGGAACGTGCGTAAAGAAAACATAAACAGAAACATAAACAAAACGCAAACGATAACGCAAACACGTTTTGTATCATTTTGTAACGTTTGTGTTTGTACATGTGTATGGTTTATGTTTTATTTATGTCGGGAGAAAAATAAGACCTTATGTTGGGCAAAGAAGACCTTATTTTATCCCTCACGTAAAAGAAACGCAAACAGAAACATAAAGAAAACAGCTAGTAGCCGCAATTTCTGGATATGTCGGGGATATGCGTTTTGTTTTCGTATTTGAAGCCGTAGAAATGTATGCGGGCTGCGCAGGCCAGTCCAAGTTTGCTGACCGCCAACCAACTAACCAACGGTACCCAGGATGGAGGTCAGTCGCCGCCTCTTTCATCGCCTTCACCAACCTGCGGATACCTCGACGCTGACCTGGTGCACTAATGAGTTGCCGGATCTCTGCGGAGACTTGATGGTTGAAGATTGAAACCCCCAAGGATCCCCAAGTTATGTCAGTTTAGTGAAGTTTAGTGAGAAAATCGATTGTGGGAAATACATATCGGAGTTTGATTTGGTAATGGCTGGGACAATTTTGATGAGCCCTTGTTTATATAAAATGATGTGCCGATGTGCTGAATATCATGGGGAACATGGCAACGTAATGTTTAGCCAGTGAATGTGGAGGTATACCAGCTAATACCCCATTTGGTTGGTGGTTTGGAGCATTTTATTTTTCCATATATTGGGAATTTCATCATCCCAACTGACGAAGTCATATTTTTCAGAGGGGTAGGTCAACTAGGTCAACCACCAACCATCACTATAACACATTATAACAGAAAACATTTATCCAGGCTTGGCCTAAAGGTTACTTCCCTATCCCCAGATGAATGTTTTGATACTTTTCAATACTTTTCATCCATCTTGGTATATCCCAGGTTACCCTCTGGTAAACGTTTACATAACTATGGAAAGATCCACCATGCTATCAATGGGTAAATCCACTATAAATCACCATGCTATCAATAGCCAACTGTTAGTCATTACCAGAGGGTACCAAACAATCACTGTTTTTTCTGGGGATGAACCCATGATTTGTTACTTCCCCCCAGAGACTGTCGAGTTCACTGGAGGAGAGCTGGTGATTTGCGACGGCCATGTGGATCCGATGTCCTTCGTCATCGTAGATGGAGGCTGCTCAAAAAAATGAGGAAGATGAGGAGATCCTGAAAATTGATTCCTGGTTATATTATAGTTTATGATCATCATGCAGTACCATTGGTACTATATTATAGTTATATAACTATAGTTCTATTATCTGGCTGGTGGTTTGACACATGTTTCATTTTCCATTTCATATATGGGATCATCCTTCCCATTGACGAACTCCATCATTTTTCAGGGGGGTAGGTCAACGTAACCAACCAGATTCGTTCATCCATTTCCTGCCACCTGCAAGGGATTCAGTGGGTCTGGCGAGGTGACTCTGTGCAAGGCTTGTCCTAGCCTCTGGTAATGACTAACATATATAGCTATTGAAAATGACCATAGACATAGTGGATTTACCCATTGATAGCATGGTGGATCTTTCCATAGTTATGTAAACGTTTACCAGAGGGTCTGTCGCTTGTGTTTGTGACATTTTTCGAGGGGATACATCCAGCTATTCCATACGGTAGATTCATCGCAGAACAACATGGTGAAACCAGATATATTCCAGAATTTCGATGCATGGAAAATTCATTGAACCCATCTTAATTATTCTTATTTAACGGTAGAAGACCATGATTTCCTGGACTCTCAGCGATCAATTCCCATGACTTTCTGCTTGGTTAAATGATCATCCTCGTTCCCCGGGCCCCATCATCGAAGTTGAACAACCACTCAAAACATCGTTTGAGCTGTGTTCAAAACCACTGTTGGTTGATGAATAGATAGGATTTATTATATGTTATTATGTGATATTATATGTTATTATATGTTATGATATGTTATTATTTGTTATTGTTTATTATATGTTATTATGTGTTATTATATGATATTATATGTTATTATAGTTTATTATATGTTATTATATTTCATTATATGTTTTTTTTGTGTTATTGTGTGTTATTATATCTTATTATATATATGTTATTATATGTTATTATCATTATTACAATGTTTTATTTATTTATTTATTTATTATCCAATGTGTATATATATATATTGGGGATTGGTATAGGAACTGGGAATCCCGTTCTTTTTGACGACCAGTGTTTCATGGGACAGTAAACGGGTAAACCCATGGATGTCACCAAAACATATCGCCATGTTCCCATTGAAAATGGCCATAGAAATAGTGAGTTTTCCCATGAAAAATGGTGGATCTTTCCATAGTTATGTAAACGTTTACCAGAGGGTATACAATGCATTATTCCTGGATGATATAGCCATCATATTTTGTGAGATTGTCATACCAGTATTAAAGACAGGAATTATCATGACCGATGAGGATTCCCAATTTAAGGCGGAATGACCGTAGCATCTGTTAACATCCAACATAGTCATGGGAAAAGGCTTTGTTTTTCCGGTAAAATCGCCTATGCAAAATGATAGTTTTTCATAGCAAACTCTTTTGATATCAGATGACCATGGCACATCTGTTACTTGGAGAATAATCCCACTTCTATATCCGGTGAATAAGCCTGGTTAGTAAGTCCCCTTATCATCGGTTATCCCATGGTAATTTCATAATGATTAATATAATTATATATATACAAATATATTACAGCATATTCCTATAAGCTTGAAACCCTGGTCATTCCCATATGAATATATTCCTACATTCCCATATACAATATATATCCCATATATCTCCTTACAATTCCCTATATATATATGTATATATAATTATGTAATTATATATGTTACTATATATATATATATATTAGATTATTAGATTATTAGATTATAATATATATATATATTAATATATATATATGATTATAATATATATATGATTATAATATATATATATATATATATGATTATAATATATATATATATACGATCATAATGTATATATATATATGATTATAATATATATATATATATCCCTTACATTTCCCATAGATTCATGTATTCATCATGTCCATGGTTCACCAGATCCTTGGTGCAGGTTTGCTGCTCCACGAGATCCTCGCCGCCGCGACGCCGCGGCGTTGCGCCGCGGCGGTGGCCGACGCGGCGGCGCGGGCGGTGGCGGCGCAGCTGCCGTCAACAAGGGCAAGGCCGGGAGGGTGTCGAAAGATAAGGCGAAAACCATAGGAAAACCATAGGAAAATGGTGGTTTAATGGAATTTAATGGGATTTAATAAGGCGATGTAATATCTACGGATGGTGATTTTCCATAATTTAAATGGGTGATTTACCGTAGTTTTTCCATTAAAAATGGTGATACCCTCTGGTAATGACTAACAGTTTGCTATTGAAAATCGCCATAGAAATAGTGGATTTTCCCATTAAAAATGGTGGATCTTTCCATAGTTATGTAAACGTTTACCAGAGGGTAATATCTATGGACATCAAAACTGGTTGGTGGTTTCAATTTCTCTGAAAAATATGAAAGTCACTTGGGATGATTATTTGATTATTCCCAATAGATGGAAAAAAATGTTCCAAACCACCAATATAGACATGATTGGAATGTGTTTTAAAATAGCATAAATTGGAATATATATATATATATATATAAGTTTTGAAATATGGATGTGTTTTAAAATAAGATGATTGGAATAATGGTATGGTTTGATCATCTAATCATATATAATCATATTATTAATGATCTATCACATTAGGGAAACCATTTTTGGGGAAACCACATTAGGGAAACCATGGTTCATCATGGCCAGGCGATGATTAGGGTTTGCCCATATGATTCGACTTGAGGTAGATGGTTACCCTCTGGGAATGACTCACAGTTTGTGATTGAACATGGCCCATAGAAATAGTTGATTTACCTACGAACAGTGGTGATTTTCCATGTTAGTTTATCAGAGGGTAAGGCGATGATTGGGCGAATGTTGGTGAGTGGATGGTTGCGAAATCCAAATCACCAGTTGAAAACGGTGGCAAACATCTCAATATTCATAGGGTGGAAAATCCATCTTTTGGTGGTGCAGGATTTAGCAACCATCCACAGTATGTTTGGTTGGCGATAAGTTATATGGTTGTTATATATGGTGGTTGTTAAATACTGAATGTTTCTGATCTGTTGATGTTCAAAGCTATCTCGAAATCCACCTGATGTGATGGGATATATTTCCATATTATATATATCTATCTATATATATATATATATATTGTCATATATGTGTAATATTGTATAATTATATATATATATATACACATGTTGTTCACCTGGAAAAATGAGGGGCTGGATCAACACATATACCATATCCAGACGAACCAGTTTCTTCGACGCACACACACACACACATACACAAAAGTATTATATAACCAGTATTAACCTTTTGATCCAGAGCATTCCATAGCCATCTTTGGAGTATGTTGAATATGATTTCGGACAACTGAAAAGGGACAAATCATCTAGCCTCTAGTAAACTAACATAGGGAAAATCCGTCGTATGTGGATAATTTTCCAGGGGAAAATGTGTATGATCAATCATTTTTATAGATGTTCGATGTCTATCTTAGTTTACATCAATGTATCAACTGGCATCGTCTTGACGTTCGAAAGCTGCACCAGGCGTCGCCTATTGATTGTGGAGGGCCTTTGCAAAGCAGTGCAGGCTGGATCTGTTGGGCGGGAGTGGGATGAGGGCGCGACCTAATAGCCCAATGAATGATCAGCAGCCAGGGTTCGAAACGTCTGTGGAGTTGGAATGAAACATAGGGAGCTGCTACCATGGGACCATGGCACAAGAATGAGGTACCAAATTTATGACCTCGAGTCATTTGGTCATATGTCGAAACCTCTGAATTCCAAGGATAAATCAAAGACACAGACCCACTGGTAGTCCGTTGCTAAAGGGTACCTAAAATTTACCCTCGTTAGGAGGTCGGTTAAAATCCAGAACCTCCTGTAGCAACCCCAGACTTACCTGGTTGAATCCAAGGAAAAGATATGTGAGAAAATTACAGGAATCCCAAACCGGTTTGGGATTAAACACCCGGGTTTCTTGTTTAACTTCCACATACAGATGATTAAACACACTGAGTTTGGGATCATGTTCTTCTGGGATTTATGATTTATACAGATACAGTAGATGCAGAGATCGCTGGTGTCTTATGTGGTCTCTTGCCCTAGGCCTTTGGTCTCTTGCCCTAGGCCTTTGCGCGGGGCACCTGTCCTTCTCCACTCCCGCGTGAAGAGAAGCTGGGATTGATTTGAGCCATTAACAATAAGGGTTTAGACTCACGGTTTCCGATGTTTTTGAACTCCCAAAATTGGACTTGGACATGTTCCTTTCTTGCTTTCTCCAAACAGCTGTGGACCATGGAAATTGTGCTGACTTGGACCACCACCCCATGGAGTGGAGATTCTAAGCTGCTTGCTGTTTTGTTTCCAGAGCTGTTTGAAGATTGTTTTTTTCAATATCAAACTCACCATCTGGATTCATAATCATAGGTTTTCATAGGTTTTCTAGATGAGTGACCCAACCAACCAACTTGTCATTGGATTGGTTTTGTTGGGAAAATATTAACCGGAAACCATGGGCTTTTACCATGTTTTTTTGGGGGGTTCCTGTATTTTTTCCCTTAAAGCAATCCATTGAAAAATGGTCATGTTTTAGGATCCTTCCCTGTGCTGAACTTGTGATTCTGCTGCTGGATTTGACCTGCTCCTGGCGTACCTTGGCGGCCTTGGCGGCCTTGGCGTCGGGAAGCTGACGAAATCTGACGAATGGCCGGTGAGCAGATGAAAGGATGAATGAGAATGGGTTAACCTCCGGAATCAATGGAGAAATAGATGTTAATGACATACATATAATATATTAATATGCGATAGTATACGTACATATATCATATATATATATATATACGTATTAAAATATGTATAAATCACATCCCGATGAACATGCTTTTTCCCAGAGGATCAGGTCAGCCAAAACAGTTCATGCTGGTTCTGGTGTCACCCCCTATTTGATCCAAGGCTCGACTTGTTTTTTCAGCAGATCACAAATGGATCATTCAATCATACATAACATTGCAAGATCATGAAGTGTGTTTTTTGATGTTTTAATCCTAGATGGGTATGGATCAATACCTATTAATTAATACCATTTTTGATGGGATGAACATCCATTTACCAGCTATTTTGATGTGAACTACAGGGGTACAAGGTTTTGACACACTGCCAGATGTTCGGCTTCATTTCCGGCTTAATGTTTTGTTAATAAATATATCAATTTTTATACATTGACTTTGAGTTCTCCATGGCATGCTGCAGCATGCCACCTCTAAGGTTGCCGTGTGCATAACAGCGAAGCCGTAGAGACAACGAAGAGCTTTCTGCAGGCCGTGGGAGGGGTACTGTAACCGCAGCCAGCTGACATTGGATTGAAATTTCAACGAAAAATGATTTCATCAATAATCACAATTAATCGTAATAGTTACCCATATGCTCCATGTATGGTATATTTACCTACATTTGGTTGATTTTTAGGGCAAATGTTGGTAAATATTCCATACATGGAGCATATGGGTTATAGTATTAATAATATGACTGTAGATATCGAGTTAAACCATCAAAAAACAATATTTTGCCAATGAGTAATGGATCTCATGGAGGCTTTGCAGAGTTCATTTGTCATGATTTACCAATAAGAGGGCAGTTATATCATCTAATCATAGGGATATGGATCTGAAAACGGAGTTCTTCGCCCACGATGGCTGTTGTAGGGGAACATAGGGGAACCATGCGATGGGACGAGGTTCCAAATTCTGGAGAAGCCCCATGTTTTGTCTTCCATTTTGATTCAGAAATTCAGGTAATTGTTCAATTGGACCTTTTATTCTAGCATCATGTTTGACCCACAGATATCCAAGGAGTGGGGTTGGGTCCATTGGTAACATATTCTTGAACCATAGCCATGTGTACAAACCCGAAATATAGCGCAGGAAAAGGCTGTGCTTTTGACCCTATAAAGTCTAGGTTCGCAACTTTTTCTGGTTTGTTTTTTTTTAGTCCTGGTGCTGGGTAAATCTTTCTGAAAGGGCACCAGAATTGGGCACTCATCTCACCCAAATGAGATTCTGCAAGCCACAATGGGAAAACTTCGTATGACGTGGTGCTTTGTGGATTAGTGAGTTTGATTCCTAAACAGAGACTAAATTGAGACATATTGTTGTCTAGAACCGCATGCTTTTCCGTTGAGCCACGAAAAATTAGGGGTTATGTAGTTTTATAACCATAGATAGCCAACAAGGCATCGATTTAGCAAAAATTTCGATGTGTCACCAACCAAAAAAAGGGGTGGCCAAACCTGCAGGCCGATTTGGAGTCATGAAGCCTCTCAATGTTTTCAAATGGGTTGAAACCACTAACCAGAGAGATATAGACAGATATAGACAGATACTTGCTGTATACCCAGATGCTCCATGTATGGTATATTAGTATATTTACCTACATTTGGGTGATTTTCGGGGCAAATGTTGATACATATATCCGATATATCCAGCACCATGGAGCATATGAGATATGTTGGATGTGTTGTGTTTCTAATTTCCCATGAATGTTCGATGAATCCAGCAGACTGTTGGTGTGTAAATCCTCTTCGCCAGTTTGATACAGTAAGATGCTATGAACTTTCAAACCCAACAGCTAACCCCGTATAAACTAACATTAGCTATCAACAATCATCTGACAATTCCCAGTGTTGTTGATTCATTCCCTATGTTTGATGGATAAAACCGATCAAAAACCAGGAATCTCCTCTAAATCGTGTCACCGCGTCGTTGAAACCGCCAGGTCTTGGTTCAAGTCGCCTTGGGCACCAGACAGATCTGATGGTGCGCCAGATTTATGGTTGTCCATGGGGGCAAAACATCTAACCAGTCAGAAGTCACGGTTTTGTAACATGATCTTAGGTGATCTATGCTTGTGATACATGTGATACATGTGCAGCAGGTCGTTCTTAACATGCTGACAGTCCTAGGGTCCAGTAACAGGCCGGTCATTTGCAAACAGCGACAATGGTCATGGTCTTTATTTCAGCCAAAGAGCCTAGAAATATAGGGACCTCATAGACACCATTTCTTAGATATTTATCTGGGTAAATTATAACGACCTCACTGCGACCTCACTGGAATCATGGTTAATAAGGAAAATCATCCCCAAATGGGCCTTATTTCAGGTTAGTGAAATATTATAATTTACCCAGATTTATGGAATCAATTTCATTTGCCCAGAATGCGTGCAAGACTGGACATAATTTGGGGCCTCCGTGAGCATGATGATGGCCACGTCGCCATACCCGTGGAACCCCCTTGAATCATGAATCCTGGAATCCGCGCAATCCGTGCAGCCCAAGAATCAAAGAATTCTTCAAAGAGCTGGCTGTTCGAACGGTTAATGTACATAGTTGCTTTAGCTGGTTGGTAGCTGTTTCAACTGTCATTATACTGATGTTATCATGAGTTGCAAATTATGTGCATTGATTGTTCCATACAGCAGTAGTAAAATCACCGGTGATTTTGCCGGTTCAACAATGCTTTGGGATTTGTGGAAACCACCAGCCAGATTGCTCTGTGTCCGTGTGTCCTGATGTTCGGAGATCTGGATATGTCCTAAGATTGGGGCCCGCTCAAATCCAGCACTTGTTCCTGGAACATGCCGCGATCTGCTTTCTCCAGGTTTTTTTTAGGTTTTTTTGTCCAAAATGTCGCACACTTGTGGGGCTTATATAAGAATTATAGAATTGCTCCTAGCTGGTGTATGCAATATGGATTATCCTAGCTCAACCATACTATCATCATCAAGTCCAACATGGGTATATATAAATTGATTACTATATGACTATATGAATATATCTACATATAATATGATCTATAGTTATCTGTTTTTAATATACATAATTCATAATTATGTGTATATATATATTATAATATATAAACCTTGCCAACCAGCTTCCATGTTCACATTGTTTGCAGGGTGTCTAAGATTGGCCATTGTTGCTGATGATTTCTGGTCCTTTTCTGCCTGAGCCGATCTTCAGGACACCAAATGCAATCGCCAATGAGTTGTTGAAGTTTGGCTGCGATTTGACAGCCAGTTCCTGCCAATGTTCAGATGAAAAGATGCCCCAGAGAGACGAATTTCCACATCTGGATGCTTCTTGGGAGGCCCAAATCAAGTGTTGTAGTTTCATTTAAAAAAAAAAAAACTTCACTTGGGGCTGTTTCCTTTTGTGCCACGCATTCTTTTTTTGACAATGCAGCTGATTTTTTCAGCATTTTCCGCATCGATTTTGAAGACCAACATGGCGGATTTTTCACGGATGCCTTGGATCAGAGACAGAAAAACGGTGGTAAATTATCCAACTTCCAAAAAGCATCGTAAATATTGATAGATTATTATAAAAGCACATATCCAACATTATAATAATATATCAACATTAAATCCAACATATACTAATATTTGAAAAAGCACATGTTGATATATATTATTATAGATGATTATGAAATTATAGCCTATATTTTAATTACAAATTGACATGCCAAAAAAATACCTCCCCAAAGCCTCCCAGGCATGGCTTTTCCCCCTGGTTTTTCGATGCCAGTCGGAGACATTGCGCGACCTCGAGCTGGCAGATGGCGACACCGTGGTGGTGGTGCCTCCCAGGGTGTGGAGACTCAGAGTTGTTCGGTCCCAGGTAGCTATTTGTTGGTGAACATAACTCTACAGCCGTGGTAGATATACAAGTGAATAGGGTTTTAAAAACTCAAAACAACAGGGGGGGCACCAGCTTGTATATTCAATGGATGCTGGATGGGATGATAGGATTAATGGAACTGTTAATGAGTAATCATGGCTCATAAATATGATCATTACCTTGGTGAATTATAATGTCACTGCGAAGTCAGCGTAAATGATGCTCCTCATTGGCCGGACTTTTGAGGTTGGTAAACTATGATGGCTCACCTGGAATATCATGGTATACCCTGGTATTCCACGGAGAACCGGATGTGCAGGTCCCCAGGGTCTCAATTTTGACCCCCTCAGTTGGTATTGCCATTAAGCCAAATAATGGGGAACTCAAGAATCTCACCCAGTATTGCCTTGTGTCACCCACGTTTGACTACAAAAAAAACATAGAACTTCGCCTTGCTGCTTCAAACTCATCTCTGAACTTGCAGATCCCCATCTGAACCCCATGAGTGTGCCCTGTTTTCAGGCGTTTTCTCCCAACAAATCGCTCCAGTTCCATCGTCATCGCTGCAGCTGTTCCGCCCCCGTTCCTTGCCACGACACCCGGAGCGGCCGTGCCCATGGCGTCCGTCCTGGCGGACGGCCGGCAGCTGTGCGTCTTCGCGGACGATGCGCAGATGGCCCAGCAGCTGGTGACAGAAGTGACCTCGGCGGCCAAGGAGAACATCGCCAAGAAGGGCAGTGCCTGGACCGGAAGACGATGGAATATGGCTGGGGATATGGGGAGACGATGGGAACTGGGAATCGTATGGGAATATGGGAATAGTATGGGGAGAATCTATGGAAGAATCTGGGAATATGAAATCGGTCATATTCATATGATTAGCATGAATCAACTATCCAGTGGTGGAGGGAACGGGTCGGAGGGGTATCCATCTTCCCCAAATGCATTAGGAGAGCCAGTTGGCGCTATGAATTGAGTTTCCCAACCTTGAAACCGGAGATGCTCCTTATGACCTGTGTAGAATCTTTGTAGAAGAGGGGGATAGTTGCTTTATACTTTACCAAGAATTTTGTTGTGAAAGATGAAAACAAACACTTGGTGGCTAGCTATGTAACAACAACACCCGCCACTATGTCCCACAAGGTTGGGATCGCATTGGGATCGCATGGAACATCGCATAGGGTTTGTTGTATTTGTTTAAACATTTACAGTAAATGATGTAAGAGTATCATGAAATTGACACAAAACATAGATTTTCCAGCATGCATATATATATATATATATCATTTAATTATAGATATAAGTATATAGTTATATTATGTGTATATATATATATACAGTATATGATATATGAAACCGCTGTAAATTCTTTACAATACATATATGATACATGCACATAGTTTCAGCCAAAAAAGATCGCCAAGGTTTCAGCCTGTGCATCCCTGCGGGCAGCGTGGTGTCGGCACTCTCCGCCTTGTCACCAGAGGCAGTGGACTGGAGTAAGGTGCCGCGGGGCCCAAAAAGGGTGGGTTTGGGGCCCAAAAAAAACCGGGTTTCATGGGATTTTCATGGGATTTCACATGATTTAACTATATGAACTCATGGGATTTTCATGGGATTGAACCATGAAACATAATGGGGTTTTACGGGGGTTTAATATTCAAACATATGATAGGTATGCTTGATAATTTATTTCACCATTAAAAACAATGACTTAACCATGGATAATGTGGACAGAACGATGACAAATGGGAACTTAACCCTGAACCGTGAACAACTGGGACTCAACCATAAACAAAGGTGCATAACCAACACAATTTTGGACTAGACAGCAAAAAATGGTAAGATAGTTGATATAACATATATTACTGCAAAAGACCGGGTTATATGAAAAAAAGAAAAATCCAAGCATGGGAATATTACAGTATAGGACATTTACGGGCTATAGTCGGGAGACCTTTTAGTACTCAGGAATCTCAATCTGCAAAAGGGCACATCTACTAACCCGTTAAGATTAGAATGTAGGGCATCTAAGACTGGGCATGGTACAACCAGCCAAAATGATTCAAAAATGCAGATTTAACCATTCAAACTCGATTCAAGATTATGGTGACTGGCTTTTCAGTGAATCGGAAAACTTGACTGTTCATGGCTAGTTTCAGAGCCTTATACTTATACCAACTAATAGTTGTTGCCTTTTTTGCCAAAGTTGTTTTGATAATATACCAAAAACCAAGCAGCAACCAGTATGTTTGAAGACTATCAACAGGATTCGTAGAACTGGCCGACTGGCCGCTCGAGCCCCTTGATACAGGATGCCCCTGGGCAGGGGCATCCAGTTGCTGAGTGGGATTATGAAATCCAAGTGGATTTCATATGGTTTCATGTTCCTGGGCTGGTCTTAAGCTGATATGCTGTCGCTATTTGTATCAGACATCTAGATACATCTAGTATTTCACTCTTCCTGGTATGTTACTATTCAGTCTTTGACTATTTGTACTAATAACTGGTAGTCTAGCCTCGTTAGGGTTGGAAACAACATGTTTAATTCGGTTCAGAACTGGAACTGGTATGATTCCTAGAGTTAGGAAATAGTAAGTACACCCATATAGCAATATCCCATGAAATATCCCAGTGATGGTATCATGTGTTTCCTTTACAATCACCAATCAGTCACTTCAGGGACCATTCAAGTGCTCAGTCTCTGCCCACTGGCTCCAGACGAATAAACCTTGGTTGTGGAATTGTGGGTTCGTTGAACATTGATGGGTCAAACAGCATAGCTTATACCTTACTCGCCTTCAATACTCGGTACACATGGTTGCTTGGTGCCATAGCCCAGTAAGCCGCTGTATATAGATGTGTTCCCGCACAATTTCTATACGTTAAACCAATCCAACACTTGCACATGTTTCTTGTGTTTTTGTTGATGTTGACACCAAAAATTCAAGGCCCCCTTTATTTTGTTGGCCGGTTTTTCGATGGCATCATGGCATCTTTCAACGGTTCGCCACGCGCCAGGTGCACATCTTCTTCACAGGCGAGCGCTTGGGCGTGAACAAGTCCTACACCGCCGCCTTAGACGCCTTCTGTCGCAACTGCAAGATCCAGTCGCTCGGTGACCGAAAAAAATGCTGTGGACCTGGGGGAAAACGGTTAGAGTTGGGTTGGGATGTGGGTTTTGTAAGTAAACAATGGGGGGGAATTCTAAGCATCAAATATCTTAGGATATATATAATATAATTAATATATATATATATTATTATATAATCCTCCTTGGAAAAATCTCTATAAAATAGATCACTTGGGGGTACGATTCTATAGAGATGAGGCTGGTAGGCCAGTGTTTACTATAGAATGGTACCTGGATTGCGCCCATCCAGTTAACATACCCAAAAGGGACACCAAACTTGAGGCATTGCAAATCCAGTTTTCTATTCTATAGGGGGTCTTTTTCCTAATCACTTGGACTCAGGTTTTCATTCTATAGTGGATGATTTGTTAGAAGCGGTGGGTATGAGGCTGGGTTTTCATTTTATAGGAGTGGAAGGGGAGGCGTCAGTGGGCAATAATATTGTAAATGCTGTATGATATATGTGTTATGAGAACATACTGGATATGTGTGTGTATATGTACTATACATACATTTGGGTGTGTCTGAAAATGGCCGAATGGACCATTTAGATTTCATGGAGAACTAGTGACAGATATGATCAACATCAACATATAACTGGTTGATGGTTTGATATTAATGGTGATATTACTGGTGATATTCATGGATATTACTGGTTGATGCTTTGGAACATGACTGGATGATTTTTAACCATCATATTGGGAATTTCATCATCCCAACAGACGAAGTCCATCATTTTTCAGAGGGGTTGAACTCAACCACCAACCAGGATAACCAGTTTCGGGATTGAGGCGGCAAACAAGTCCAAGTCCAATCTTAATGGATTGCTTTAAGGGAAAAAATTACAGGATAACCTCATATTTCTTGGGAAAATCTATGGTTTCCGGTTAAGATGTTCCCTTTTTCCCAATCCATTGAAACAAGTGACGCTTCTGAACTCTGTGGAAACATGGGGATCCGACGACCCGACGTATTCAGAAACTTGGTGGATGTTGATGACCCACAGCGAAAACCATGGCTGATGAGATCTGTCATGTGATTGGATGTCATTGGAAGCAACAGGAACTTGAGCGGAAAAGAGAAATGACACAGGCCACAATGGTAGTGCAAAGCCAACCACAAAGCACCATGATTGGGAGAACAACTGAATATAGGATGATATGAATACGGTTTGAATACAGAATTCGATGTGAAACCCGTTGTGCTGTCTATAAAGATGGTGTTGCTCTTGTTGGCCATCAGTTTTAGAAAGTGTTACCACGGCTCGCCGTGAGGAATGTGTACTATCCCATCATGCGGCCACTTGGCGGAGTTCAATGTTTTCCTGAAAGATCTGAGGGAAATTACCCATATGCGAACCATGGTGCTGGTATATTTACCTACAAAACTGGTTGATTTTTAGGGCAAATGTTGGTAAATATTCCAGCACCATGGAGCATATGGGTTACTTGGTACACCAGTTGCAATAATCCCTAAACAGAGAAGTTATACCATTTATACCAGTTGTATTTGCAAAGGTCGCGAAGTGATTTCATCATGATATCACCTATGGCATAGGCCTATTGTTGAGCCATCTAAGTTCAAGGCCGATTCTCTGGGTACGTCTTGTGCACTAAGATGATTGATATGGAGGTGTCCCAGGTCATGGGGTACACCCAGTTATCATCCATTTATAGATGCATTTTCCATGATAAACCATCCAGCTATTGGGGTACCCCTATTTTAGAAATCCCCATATACAGTATCTTTTCCGTGGACTCTCTAGCCAGCCATTTTTGTCCTTCACGCGTGAAACCTTTGTTGGCGTTTTCAGGTGTGGGAATATTTCAGTCATTTGGGGATGATTTCATAGCAAAGAACCCCAAGACTTGATCATCGTTTTAATAGAATGTTCAGAGAAGAAAATCCAATTAAAACGACGATCCAGTTTACCAGGGTGAATAGATGAAATATTCCCAGATGAAATAATCCATTTAATAGAAAAAAATCCAATTCCCAAAGTTTATCAGGGTCGGGTCATCCAGATGATGGGGAGATGGTCGCATCCATGGAGGCCTCTTTTCAGCTGCGGCACCGGACTGCCGGAGTTTGCGGTGAAGGCGTACACGGCCGAAATGGATCGAAATGCGGAGCCAGTAACATCTTTGCAGAACATACTGAGTTTTGGGCGATACATAATTACCCCTCAAAACCCATCACTGGATATATATACACATACATATTATATATATATACACATACATATATAATTATATATATAATTATCTATACTGTGCTTATACCTTGGAGACAAGGTGGCTGCTTCGAATGATTTGACTCATAAAATCACATAAAATTGGCGGTGAGCATTCAACATTGTGTTTTTGGCCACAAGACAGTAAATGAATGCCTTTCATACCTGTCATACCTCAACACTGAGAAAGCACCTCTTTAATTGACCATCCCTTCTCCCTAATGATAAACACCCCTTCAAAATCCTGTTGAACCTATTCATGAACTGGGGTCCCGTGGACAGATGGACGGGGTATTTATTGATCGTGGGAAGGGATTTTGTATTAGCCTCAGCAATTCCGTGAAGATGGATCACAACAGATAAACCTGAGCTTTTGCCATATTGCCAGAAGATCTGGATCTATGTTTGGGCAAAACTTAAACCGTGGGTGAAAAACTAAACTGAATAGACACGGATGATTTAAAAATCCCGATTCTATGTTTTTTTAGATCATCTTAGCTTAAAGTAGTGATAGTTCAATCCCATTTTTTGGTGTTTTTGGGACCCAAAGATGGATCGAAGGTGACCGGGTGATCGGGTGACCGGGTGATCGGGCGGTTTCGGGTGATGGAGCGCTGGTTCAGGAGGCAGCGGCGGCGTACACGTGTCTGTTGAAGAACCATCCAGCCATCGATAACTCGGGGCCGATGCCGTCCTTTGCTCTTTGGCAATGCGGGGTGATGTTTGGGGTTTGGCATGTTTTGGAATGTTTTGGATAGATATATATATATATACACATTATATATATATATATATATATAGATATAGATATATATATACATATGTACACACATATGTATATGATGTATTTATATATATATATACATATGGATTTGTGCACAGAAATAGGGGATACATGGAGGATACCTGAATTCATGGCAAATTGAATGGGGAAAATGATGATAAACCATGATTTTTTTAATGAGATTTTGAGGTTATGAAATGGTTTTAAACTATGTAATGATTGTGCGTTAAGTAATGATTGTGTTGGCTTTTTGACGGGTGATGAGTGGTAGTTTGCAACAAGTGAAACAAGCGTTGTAGCCCTTGCGCAGGCGACTTGCAATGGAATATGTATATCCTTACCCGCTTCTTCAATACTTGAGGGTAGCCACCACAACGTAGGATAAAGGTTTGTTCTCTCCTCGAAAATTACCAATGTTACCTGGCTCTATGCATTCACCCTTATGACTATTGGATCAATAAGACTCTTTATTTGTTCCGAGGTACTGGGCCTCGGTTTGGAAAGTTGATTGTTTGGTCACGATCAGTGGAGCGCTATTTTCGATCTCGATATGGATAGCCCTAACAACCAGTAGAGTGGGATGGGATAGGTGTTTTACTTTTCACGGCTCATCTAAGGTCGGATCATAATCATAGGGCTATGTCCAATGCCCAGGAATAGATCTTTCGGGACCCTTTGCCAGTTTTTTTTTCAAAAGTTGCTGTGTTTTATGGGCTTATTTGAAAATTGAACACCCAAAGAATCCGATGGTTTATCATAGCTTTCCCCAGGCAATTTCCCCTAACTTGAGGACTTGAGGTATCCGGTCTCCCCCATTTCAAGACAAAGCTATGTCATATCCCCTTGCATTCTCATATCTGCAGGAACCCCAACCAATTTATAGTGGGTAAAGCAACTGTTTCCATCTGTTTCCTGTAGATTTTCCCAACAACACCAACCCAATCATCGATTAGATCCATTCTTAACTGGTCAAATCTGTGGTTGTTCACAAATAAATCCATTTTTTCGTTGGTTTAATGCCCATCAAAAAGAGATGGCCATGGTCCAAACCCAGGGCCAATCCCCCCGGATTCTCTCAGGACATGTTGCTTCTCGGCGTGGGCGACGACGGGCACTGCGGCTCGCTGCACCCGAAGAGCGAACATATCAAGGCGGTGGGCGATGGCACCGTGACCTTTGGGATTCATAAGCCGGGGAAGAACCAGAGTCTTGGAAGGTGAGTGGCAGCACAAAAACCTCCGGTTGGATTTAACCATCGTTTTTTGGGGGGTTAGAGATGATTTTAATCATCCCAAAAATTGAGGAGAAAATTGACAACTGACGGGAATGCTGATGATTAGTTCCGGGATGATACTATATTTATTGGGGAGTCTTACAATCCATGAACGGGGGATGCCGTTCTTAACCAACCACTATAAAGGGCCCTGGGCTGGATTCTGGATGGCGATATATGGGGGTTTCCATAAATGGAGGCATCCCAACAGGGATGGTTTATTTCACGGAAAATCCCAGCTATAAATGGATGATTTAGGGGTACATACCCCTATTTCAGGAAACCTCCATATGGAAATATCTAATGAATTTGGTTTGTACTGATTGTAATGGACATGTACGTAAATTTACGTAAATTATGGAAACTCATGGAAACTCATGGAAACTCTACAATTGTAGGGGGTTGTTTCTGCCTTGTTTCCACACAAGGATGTGCCCGAAATATATGCCATAGCACCTTTCAGGACCTTCATCCGCGGGTAACTCCCAAACGTCCGGAAATAGAAGGATGAACAATATATAAGATATGATTACTATTAATAGTTATTATTGAATATCATTATTATTAATGATTCAATCACAGAATAAGATATTCAATTGAATTGTTATTATGATATATTATGATATGAAATTAAAATCATTCCATCCCCAGTTTGTTTGGTGAACGTTCCACGTATCTGGCCTGGCTGTCCCGAGGATCGCCATCTCCATGGACGTGATGTGCGCGTCCAAGCAGGTGATCCTCGCTTGCCCCTTGGGGCGAAAAAACGTCGTGGCGACGGCTGTGGTTGTTTCAATGGGGAATCCAGGCTCTAGCCATGGATGTTTTAACATGTTTTAACGGGAAAATCGATCAATTGGAGGTTTGAATGGGAAATATCCGCACTCGCTATGGAGTTCGAGAGCTGAGAGAATCATCGAAATGATGTGCTCTCTCTGATCATTTGTTACCGTTTGCGAAATGGAAAGTCGTCATCACTATGATATAGGTAAATCATCGAACCAAACGGATAATTAGGGACCATTTTCCACTGCTATGTGAAATAACCAAAGGGTAATCGGAGTTATAAACTATAAACCACAACCCACTATCCCATAGGATCCATGTATGGTATATATGGTGACATTTGCCATCAATATACACCCAATGTTAGCATATATACCATACATGGATCCTATGGGTAAGTATATCTATATTAGGAACTTAACTGGTCAGTTGAGTCATGATCGACAGTCATCTCCAACGTCAATATGTCAATCATGAACTATGTCTAAATATAGTTTAGATATATTTAGATATATTTAGATATAATGTTTGCATCTGATTAGTGTGAGGGCCCCCCCCCCCAAACAATTTGAGGATACTCTATAACTCGCACTTTTTTTTGCCCCCCCTCAACATTTTTTTGGTCAATCAACTTAAGAAAGGATTTCAATTTACTTTCAATTGATTTCAATTTACTTTTAATTAATTAATTTACTTTCAATTGATTTCAATTTACTTTTAATTTACTTTCAATTGATTTCAATTTACTTTCAATTTACTTTCAAGTTACTTTTAATTTACTTTCAATTGATTTCAATTTACTTTCAATTGATTTCAATTTACTTTTAATTTACTTTTAATTTACTTTCAATTTACTTTCAATTGATTTCAATTTACTTTTAATTTACTTTCAATTGATTTCAATTTACTTTCAATTTACTTTCAATTTACTTTTAATTTACTTTCAATTGATTTCAATTTACTTTCAATTGATTTCAATTTATTTACTTTCTTTCAATTTACTTTCAATTGATTTCAATTTACTTTTAATTTACTTTCAATTTACTTTCAATTTATTTCAATTTACTTTTAATTTACTTTCAATTGATTTCAATTTACTTTCAATTGATTTCAATTTACTTTTAATTTACTTTCAATTGATTTCAATTTACTTTCAATTGATTTCAATTTACTTTCAATTTACTTTCAATTGATTTCAATTTACTTTCAATTGATTTCAATTGATTTCAATTTACTTTCAATTGATTTCAATTTACTTTTAATTTACTTTCAATTGATTTCAATTTACTTTCAATTGATTTCAATTTACTTTTAATTTACTTTCAATTTACTTTCAATTGATTTCAATTTACTTTTAATTTATTTTTATTTTTTTTTCACTCCCAAAAGTTGGTGCTCACAATAGAGTACCATCCAAACAATTATATTATTGAGTAACTGAGCCACTCATGAGGTACCCCCTTGAAAAATTGTCTGGGTGCTGTTTTTTAATAAGGGTTTAATAAGGCATCTAATTATTTGGAAAACCTTGCATTTTAAAGTTTTAACACAACTATGGCTTTCTAAAGTAAAGGGGCCAGCTTTACCCAAAGAAAGGTGGAGAAAGGGTTTTGTTTTTTTTTTCACTCCCAAAAGTTGGTGCTCACAATAGAGTACCATCCAAACAATTATATTATTGAGTAACTGAGCCAATCATGAGGTATCCCCTTGAAAAATTGTCTGGGTGCTTTTTTTTTTAATAAGGATTTAATAAGGCATCTAATTATTTGGAAAACCTTGCATTTTAGTTTTAACACAAATATGGCTTTCTAAAGTAAAGGCATCAGCTTTACCCAAAGAAAGGTGAAGAAAATGTTTTTTTTTCACTCCCAAAAGTTGGTGCTCACAATAGAGTACCATCCAAACAATTATATTATTGAGTAACTGAGCCAATCATGAGGTATCCCCTTGAAAAATTGTCTGGGTGCTGTTTTTTAATAAGGGTTTAATAAGGCATCTAATTATTTGGAAAACCTTGCATTTTAAAGCTTTAACACAAATATGGCTTTCTAAAGTAAAGGCACCAGCTTTACCCAAAGAAAGGTGGAGAAAGGGTTTTTTTTTCACTCCCAAAAGTTGGTGCTCACAATAGAGTACCATCCAAACAATTATATTATTGAGTAACTGAGCCAATCATGAGGTATCCCCTTGAAAAATTGTCTGGGTGCTGTTTTTAAATAAGGGTTTAATAAGGCATCTAATTATTTTGAAAACCTTGCATTTTAAAGCTTTAACACAAATATGGCTTTCTAAAGTAAAGGCATCAGCTTTACCCAAAGAAAGGTGGAGAAAGGGTTTTGCTTTTTTTTTTCACTTCCAAAAGTTGGTGCTCACAATAGAGTACCATCCAAACAATTATATTATTGAGTAACTGAGCCAATCATGAGGTATCCCCTTGAAAAATTGTCTGGGTGCTGTTTTTTAAATAAGGGTTTAATAAGGCATTTAAAATAATATTAAAAATAATTAAACATAAATAATTAGAAAAAATATTTTTGTTTAAAAAGTTAAAGGGTTTGGAAAAAATGAAAAAATATGGAAAAAATCTCATCTGGAAAAAAAATCTCACAATAGAGTTCCCCCCCAACAATTTGCATGTGACTGAATTAGGAGCAAGAAATTTCTCACAATAGGGTACCAGGACACTAATCGGGTGCAAACATTACTATAGTTCAATATTTAGATAGTTCAATATTTAGATAGTTCAATCGTGTTCAATATGGGTATATGTCATGCTTCTATTGTTGAGCATGTCGCGAACAAACCGGCCTAGGTACCGGCGAAAAGAAGAAGGATGCCGTGCGCAGGGCGCTTTCAGGTGCGTATAGATCGATCCGAAAACGGGTGAGTTACTCCCCAAGTTGTGGATGTTACCCTCCCCCATAGTTGTTACCATAGTTGTATCATTGTTATGCCCATTAAATCATTAATATGTTGGTAATATATCCATTAACCTCTGGTAAATAAACAGTTGGACCCTGAAAATCACCAATTTTTAATGGAAACATTCATCTTCCAACCCCGATGACTGCCAGGGTCTATGTTAATTTACCAGAGGGTATGCCTATTTTAGTGAGGAAAATGACGTTTTTAACCAGTGGGCCATGGGCAAAAAGGGTCAGAATTTTTCAGACAAAGCCAGGTGGAAATCCTGGGAGGGTTGGTCTCGCTAGGCAGATGTTGGTCAGGTTTGCTGATCCGATTTTGTTGTATCATACCGTAATACCCTTCTGAAAAGGTTGAAATCAGGAAACAATCAGTTGGATTTCATGTTTCCATAGTATAGGGCTTGCTATACTCAGTCTACTCTGTGGTTCTGTGATTTCGATTTCCATCCACAACCTTGGATGTTTAATCCTGGATAGTTGTTTGCTGTGAAAAATACATGGAAACTATCCAAAAACCAGCAAAATTCCATGATTTTTCCTGTGGACTATCAAAGATTGACCACGCTTCCAGGAAAGAGATGTTCAGAGAACAAAACCGTGTGCGGTGCCTTTTACCTGGCAATCCATGACCGTATTGTGGTGGTTGATGGTGGTTGTTGGCCGACACCAGATCCAGTCTTCTGATGGTGACAAGAATCCGAATGGGACTGGTGTTCAATGGTTCTTATACAGATCTTATCAAATTTTGTAAATGTTTTAGGGCAATTATATAGATATAGATCCCATTGTTGTTCCTGAAGTGGCCCATCATGGTAGGGTTTGTCATCATCAATTTCCCAATCAAGATTTTCGTAGACCTGGAGTATGCTCCATGCTTGGGCAAAACCAATAAAATATGGCTTGTTATGATGGGAAATAATGGTAAATAGATAATTTTTTAAATAGATAAATAATATATAAATAGATAAATAAATAAATGTACGTATGTATATATATACACCATGGCCATGATATGCCATTATTGCCATATCATGGTCAGCTATCCCCATCTTTCTAAATCCATCATTTGGAAACACCGCTTATCTACAATCGTTTCATTAGTTTCATTCAGATTCTTTGTGGTTTGATCGCTCTTGTTCATGGCAAAATCCCTCCAAACCCCCGTTGCACCGCGGCCGCGGAAGGCGACTTTGAAAGCCACGACTGCCCGGCTGCCTTGGTAAAGGCTGCAGTGACGACTTGGTATGTTGACAAAGCGAGCCTGGCGGATTACACTCCAAAGTGAGGGGATCGGGGCGATGGGTGTCTCTGAAAATGGGGTATACCCCAAAATGGCAAGTTAAGAGTGAACATGGTTCAGATGTGTAAATTACATATTGTAAGTTGTAACTTATCCATATGGGGCTCCAAACCAAGTGGTGGATGATACCAGTATGGGCCAATGACCGCTTGCAATTTGGGTTTTGACATGATTTCACATTCACATGTGTATTTCAGCTTGACAAGCATGTTATACATATATATAATATAATATAATATATATATATATGATTATTATATTATGTATAGGCGACATCGTTTCTGGCTCACGTGATCCAGTGTTATGGCTATGGCACAGGAGAATGGGGCACCATCGACTGGACCCATTTTTCTGTGGCCCAGTCGCCATAGTCGTCATAGCCGTGTGCCGAGTCGTGGGTTTTCCAGTCACCATGGGTTTTCGATGGATTTAAAGTTGGTCTCCAGAGGCCTCCAGTAGATTCGACTGCGGCAACATCGGCGATGGCGGCGTTTCGATGCGTTTCGATGTTTCAAGATCCTCTGCCAGATGTGCAGTGCGCGACAAGCAAAACGCAACGATCTGTCCATGAAAAAAAATGGAGAGTCAATGGACACGGACCCTTAGAGCACCCTGGATCTTGGCTGATGCATTCTTCATGTTTGACAACATTGGGACCTAGCCCCCGAAGAAAGAGGTGGGGACTGGCTCCTGTAATCACCATCAGCTCCCAAGGGGTTTTCTTAAAGCGTTAAACAATTTGTTGTCATTGAAAGCGACGGACATCCATTCCGGGGAATTCTTGGCGTACTTGGGTACAACTTCATGGTTTGTCATTGTGGACAATTCCCAGAAGCTCCATGTATGATATATTTGCCTACATGACTGGGTGATTTTAAAATTTTCGGTGCAAATGTTGATCAATATTCCAGCACCATGGTATTATGGTCATCCATCCCGGCCAAATAAAATTTCCATTTGGACCCTCAAAGAGGCCCTGGAATTGAGAACTGGTTACCTCGATGACATTCGATGACATCGAATTGGGTCTTATCCCATAGGATCCATGGTGCTGGTATATATGCTAACATAAAGGGGGTATATTGATGGGATCCATGTGACCATATATAGCAGCACCATGGATCCTATGGGATATCATAATAACAAATCAATAGAATATAATATATTCTGTGATTGAATCATCAATAATAATGATATTCAATAATAACAATAGTAATCATATCTAATATATTGTTCATACATGGATCCTATGGGTATGTGAATAGACAAAAATAGGCCGATTTTTGTCACGTTTCGTCAGCTCCAAAGTCTCCAACGACCTGACATATCCACAAGGCCAACCCGCCGCGAGCTGCGAACGCTGCGAAGCGCATCACTGGGCTCTTCAAAGGTCCTGGTTCCCAGGGGCTAAGCTGGAGCCACACGAAATGGAGTGTGGCATTAACAACCATTAAAAATGTGGATATGATGTGTATAAATACAGAATTAATCTGGAGGTTAGTGGCATTACCACCCTTTTTTTAATGTGGATATGATGTGTATAAATGTATACACAATGTGTATCTGGAGGTTTCCCAGAATTGGGATAGCCGGATAGCTATCATCCATTTGTTCATAGGATTTTCCATGGAATAAACCATCCAGCTATTGGGGGTACCCCCATTGATGGAAACCGTTTCGGGGATCCCCATGGATTCACCATGGGTTGATGGAACCATATCTGGATGACCTGAGTCATGAATGTGGGGATAATCTATCCCGCAGGTGACTGTTCATCATGTATATATACGTGTATATCTATATATATGTTTTAAAAAAAATATATTATTATTATTATTAATATTTATTATTATTAGTATTATTATTATTAGTATTATTATTATTATTATTAATATTTATTATTATTAGTATTATTATTATTAGTATTATTATTATTATTATTATATATAGTTTAAATTATTATTATTATATATAGTTTAAATTAATATTATTATATATAGTTTAAATTATTATTATTATTATATATAGTTTAAATTATTATTATTATATATTATTATTATTATTATATATAGTTTAAATTGTTATTATTATTATATATAGTTTAAATTATTATTATTATATATAGTTTAAATTATTATTATTATATATAGTTTAAATTATTATTATTATTATATATAGTTTAAATTATTATTATTTTATATATAGTTTTAAATATTATTATTTTATAGTTTTAAATTATTATTATTATTAATATATAGTTTAAATTATTATTATTATATATATGTTTAAATTATTATTATTATATTAGTTTAAATTATTATTTATTATTATATATAGTTTATATTATTATTATATATAGTTTAAATTAATTATTATTATATTTAGTTTAAATTATTATTATTATATAATAGTTTTATAATTTTATTATATATAGTTTAAATTATTATTATTTATATTTAGTTTAATTATTATTATTATATATAGTTTAAATTTATTATTATTATATTGTTTAGTTTAAATTATTATTATTTATATATAGTTTAAATTATTATTATTATACTATAGTTTAAATTATTATTATTATATATAGTTTAATATTATTATTATATATAGTTTATATTATTAATTATATATAGGTTTGAATTATTATTATTATTATATATAGTTTTAAATTATTATTATTATAATATAGTTTAAATTTATTATTATATATAGTTTAAATTATTATTATTAATTATATATAAGTTAATTATTATTATTATATATAGTTTAAATTATTATTATTATATATAGTTTAAATTATTATTATTATATATAGTTTAAATTATTATTATTATATATAGTTTATATTATTATTATTATATATAGTTTAAATTATTATTATTATATATAGTTTAAATTATTATTATTATATATAGTTTAAATTATTATTATTATATATAGTTTAAATTATTATTATTATTATTAAATTATTAATATTGTATACCCCTTTTGACAATCCGGTGGCTTGCATCTTTTGGTGTTACAAATCAACAAAAACATGGCCACGTCGGACGTACGTGCCTTGCTCTGCGCCAGCAAGTTGCCCAAAAGCACGAAGTGCTCGACAACGCCGTCTCCGAGTGTTGCTGAGAAATTCTCCGGACGGAGTAATTTCCATCTTTCGATATAGATATATATATATATATATATAGTGATATATATATATACATATGTATATATATAGCCATATATATATATCCATCTTTATATATATAGCCATATATATATATATATCCATCTTTATATATATATATACATGTCCATCTTTAAAATCTTTATTTATATATATATATATATATATCCATCTTTAGAATTCTTTAGATATATTTAGTGATAGATGATACTTGCGTATGTTCCAGCCAGAACGGATACGTTTGGACAATGGGTTTGTGGCCAGGCCCAAAAGTCTATTCATAGTTGGCATCCTGGACTCGTCCTGATGGGACAAAAAACTTTTAAAACACATGTTAAAAATTGCATTCTACTACCTGGTTTTGGATTTTTTAGCAAATGTTTGTTAATTTCATGTTGTTTGCCTCATTACCCATTGTTTTGAAGACGACCAACGTTTTCCGACGAGAGAACATGACTGAGGTCTTTGGCAGTGGTTACTCCTTCTGTTTCGCTTTCTTTGGCTACTGCCACGCATTGTTCTGGCTTATTTGCTGGATGCATGGTGCGCCACATCGGTATGGATCAATACCTATTAATAACATTTTTAGTGGGATGAACATCCATTTACCAGCTATTTCGATGTTAACTACAGGGGTACAAGGTTTTGACCCATCCCCACATGATTTTTGTTCGTTTTTTTTTTCTAAGGGGCAAATCGAATTCCACATCAGCTCGATTTGTAAGGATGGGGAGCTAGCAAGAATACTCACACCATCATTGCTGGTTACTACATCCAAATTTTGAAATATGTTTAGCTATGTTGAACTATCCCATAGGATCCATGTATGGTATATTTGCTAACATTGGGGGTATATTGGTGGTAAATGTTACCATATATAGCATACATGGATCCTATGGGTATGTTGAACGCATATGTGTATCCCCACTTTACATCTTCACTGTCCTATAGTCTCAAAACCGCCAGTGTTTGGATAGCCACAATTTGATGTTTCATCATCACTTTAGTATTCCCCACCAACTGTCTATTTTTTTAAGGATACCCCATTTTTGTCGACCCAAAAATTCCCAAAATGTCATCATGTTCAGCCCAAAATGTCCATTTCAGTTGGAGAATTTACCATCTGGTTATTTAACATAGCCATGGAAAATCACCAGTTTTAATAGGTAAACCATCTATTTCTATGGGCCATGGCTTAACCATGGCTACGTTAGTCATAACCAGAGGGTAAGTCTATCCCCCATTTCGGAGCCAGGTACGACCCCTGGAGCCTCGTTCGACCTCGGGCCACGGGCAATGAGGCGACCCTACTGGGGTTCGCGAGCTGACAATATAAGGGTTAAGTAATAGTTGTTATGGTTGATAAATACAATGTTTATGGTTGATGATGGGTCAAACTCTTAGCCCCGTCGGATCACTGATTTTTAGTGTATGTTTAATATGTTTAATGTCAACCGTCTAACCAAATGTGGTACTCAATTTTGACCTATTGCCATAATATTGGTTGCTGATGGTTCAATATTTAAGATTTATCATTTGGGAATGATTCAAATGGAGATTGATCATGTTTGATAATCACTTCGGAGTGGCTTTGTATGGCTTGGGGTACCAGTTTTTCAGAGCCACAATTGGATGGTTTGACTCTCCGGTGGTATGGGTATGGTAGCTCTTCGGAGCCACTCAGAGTTTCCCAGCCACATGGCGAAAAAAATCAGATCCTTTGGGAATGATTTCTGGAACCCCATGAAAAAAGACCCAATTCGATGTCATCGAGGTAACCAGGTCTCAATTCCAGGGTCTCAAAGGGTCCAAACAACAAATTCCCCTTGGCTGGGATGGATACCCTCTGGTATAATGACTAACATAGCTATTGAAAATGACCATTTATAGTGGATTTTCCCATTAAAAATTGTGATTTTCCATAGTTATGTTAGTTTACCAGAGGGTAACCACAAACCATGCATCCCATATTTCGGGCCGCCAGACTCCTGGTCGCCGCATTCGCGGTGTGGGCATCACGCCCCAAATGGTGCGCTATGCTCCAGGGCAGAATCCGCGCGGCGAGGAGCGGAGTGGTAGATGGCACGGGAGGTTGAACCATCGAAAATGGGGATTTAACTATAAAAAGTGGGGAATTCAGCAACTAAGATATGGGATATAAGTGGATAATTATAGCATAGTATGACGTAGTATGATGTAGTGGTATATAGTGGTGCGTTGTACAACCAAATTGTAAGTGGTTAGAAAGTTGGTTACTTTAAACGTTATATACTGGGATGTTTGTTCCCAAATTTGCTGCCCCAGCTGCAAGAATGACCGGTCAGGCAGAATGGTTGACTCCAGAAATCCCACCTGCGACGAAAATCCTGACATTGTACAGGATGTTGTGTAGTTTTGTTTTACAATGGATTAACATGGATTTACCATATATATATAATTATATATAATTATATATATAATTATATATAATTATATATATATATACAAATTTATATTTATATATATATATGTATTGGAGTTGCCGCATTTCGGCTGTTGATGGGAGTTGCCATATGTTTATGTTTGAGGCTACTGGTAAGATGAACCACTCGATCCACATTGGCGACCTGCGAACCCCACGATTACTGGCACAATTCTTCAACAAATTATTGGCAAATGGTTACCCTATGGAAAATCAAACATGATAAACGTGGCAAGGGAAAATCCATCATTTCTAGTTGTTTGTCCTCAGAAAAAACCTCCATTTCTATGAGATGTTCGATTGTCATGTTTGATTACCAGAGGATATAGCAGATGCTTGACTAATGACTGTGATTAAGTGGTGCTACAACCCACCAATCATTTCCTCATCATGAGGGTTTGTGTGAAAACACGGGATCCAAAACCCGTTGGAATAGATCAACCTGTTCCCCTCAGAATGCTTCTTTGGGCTCACCGACTGAAATATGGGATATAAATGGATATAGTATATTATAGCATAGAATGGTATTAGTGGGACGTGGTGGGTATATAAAACCAATACTGGTTGAAATGTTGGTTACTTGATTTACGAGATCTATGCCCCAAACTTGGAAAGTTGCTGAAGAATCCATGAAACTTACTGCAGGTCTTTGGCTGTTCCCAGCCATGTTTGATCCAAACCGGCTGGCCACATGATTGCTGGCACCATTTGATTCAGCGAAGTTCTTCCACTTGACAAATCAGCTCAAAGAATTTGTAGGTGGGCACTACAATCTCTAAGTTTATAGTTGGTATCATTTTGTTGGTTTAGTTCTTCAACTTCTAAATGGCTTGGACAAGTTTAAAGTCTACAACAGAAAAACTTCTACTTCAACTTTTATACTAGGTATCCCCAGTTCATGCTAAAAATCACCCAGTTCTGGGTGTCGTTTCATATGACCAGGGGGGTGGAATTATCTCATCATTCTCACATTCATTCCTTCCTAAGATAAAATCAAAGTGTGAACATCAAAATAGTACACGTATTACAGTATATAGATGTTAATGTAGATCTGCTATACTGGTTATAACCCAATCAATACTCAATATACTGGTATCACCATGTCCAAAAACATCCACCATAAATGGTATATAAAGTACATAAACCATCCCCTTCAACTGCTGCGTTCGCCCAAACGCCACATCAGGACCTCACGGCCCTGTTGTCGCAGGGGCTGCTGGGCATGTGACTTGGACCCGATAGATGGTGACTGGTGTGGGAATGGATACAATGTGAGGCTCCCAAGATAGCTAAGTTGGTTTATAACTCCAATACCTATGGTTTATGGTACTTATAACTATAGTTACTGGGGCTTATAAACCAACTTATAACTGGGGGGCCTCACATTGTAGGATAGATGGTGACACATGATGAAAGCAAGATATGGTGGTTTCCTAAGTCATGTTGGGGTACCCCCATAGATAAAATCCATTTATAGATGGATTTTCCATGAAATAAACCATCCATTTTTGGGTATCCACATTTATGGAAACTCCCCATATTTCAAGATACTTCAAGTAACCATGGGTTTATGTGGTGTGATATACCGGATATTACATGATTGTTATTTGAGAACATCGATGGGGATTTAATCTTCACTTATATCTTAACTATCAAACATGTGGGGATAGAAGTGATGAATGATGGTTGATTGTTGCAGGGGGGGTATACCCAAGGTATATTGGCGATCAAAATCTATCGACGGTTCTGGAGAACTGGGACCCGGGAATCGGCGATATTCACTGTGATGTGAAACATGTTTTTCTTTTTTAATCATAGTCTTATTGAGTGGCTACACCAGCAGGTTACATGTTTTTGTTTTTTTTTTACATGTCAATTGATAGTACTTTATCATAGCGTTACAGAGTGACTACATCAACATAGAATGGCCACATGGCAATTGATAGTACTATAGGACCTTGCAATTGAGTTGAACGGTGATTGGTTATAGGATAGTCATGGATAGTCTACATCAGCCTCCGGAATAAACGAGATATATGCCGCGCTGCGCAGTAATTTAACATGGCAAGGGAAAATCCACCATGATGATTTACCACTTGAACTTTGGGATTTCTAATATGTTCCCGTCCCAATTGAATGATAAACATGTTCCTCGCGAAGGTCTCGCTGGAACTTCACCAGAGACTATCTCCCCGAATCCACCGCTTTTGTTTCCTGCCAAGGTAAAGTGTGAAGCCGCAGAACGAACGTCAAAAAGATCTGGAAGTGGGTCAAATTTGGGTGCCCAAAATCGGGATTGAACGAGGCATTGACCCAGCACTCCACGGGTATTAGGAATGGTTTTTTCAAGCCGTGACCACCCAAAAACTTCCCCGGTTTTCAGATGTCAAAAGCCGACCAAAAACGAAGGTAGCGTGTGTGAACAGGGGCAAGAGATGTCTATTCTTTTCGTCATTGCCCAAGCCAAATTCATATTACATATAGATACATATATAGTATATTATAGTATGTCATATAATATATATATATATACAATACATACCATGACATCCCCACCACATCCCGGACTGCAGCTGTTCTTCCCATAGCTTTCGGATATCCCGCCGTGGCCTTCTTTTGCCGCGGGCGTGGCCGAGGTCGGAGTTCACAAGCACCACATGGATGAACCAAAATGATTGTAGAAAATCATGCATTGCTTGGCCAAAAATAAAGGTGTAATTATACGAAATACACAATATAATTCTATATATATATAAACATATTATATAATAAGCCCACAAGGCCACATTAAAATCAAAAGTATACAGGAAACCCTTGCGCGCAGGAGAATTGCACTTGCAGGTAAAATGTTACGCCTTGACAGTGACAATCCCACAGCGCATCACCAATAGAGGTGCTGTTGAGGAGAGTTGGCAGGCCAAGAGCAAAATGGACAAATCCGAACAGACGGCAGTGACTTCAGAAATTGTGACGACTAGCTACAAAGAATCGAACGAACGCAGCTACTGCCGGTGAAATATAAAGATGATTGTCCTTTGACCAGGCTTTGTCCTGGACTTCATTCCGAATCGAAACTAAAACTAGGAGAGACTATTTGGATGCGATGCTCTTCTGACGGGGGCGGCGAAACGCCTACGGGTATGGAAGCACAACCCGCTTATTTTTCAATGTTTCACGCAGTCTCACAAACTGTACCTATGGCAGGAACGAACGAACAAACGATGCACATATATAACCATGTAATACCATATATAATATATATATATGATTATATAAAATTATATATTAATTAAGTTATTATTATATTGTTATTTTTTATTATTAGTTTTATTATTAGTTTTATTATTAGTTGTTTTTTTATTTTTATTATTATTATATATATAATATTATCATCATCATTATTATTGTTACTATTTCATATGATCATATATATATATATATAATATATATTATTATTTATGATTATAATATATATATATATATATAATGTACACACCAAAGCTGCAATAAACTGAGGCAAACCATGTGATTCTTGTGCTTAGACAGTTCGATCATCAATAGCACACCTAGACAGGTAGTTGTCAAACTGTGGAGGAGACCCACTGCAGGAAGGATTCCTGTTGGTTCTTGATATCGTAATAAACATACTGTATATATCTGTATATAATTTATATAACCCATAGGATCCATGTATGGTATATATGCTAACATTTGGGGTATATTGATGGTAAATGTTACCAGATAAAGTTACATGGATCCTATGGGTAATAAACTACTATAAACCGGGAATATCCCGTAAATAACTGCATTTGAATATGCAAAAATTCCCCGCTCCGCTTACGATGCCATGGGCTCTATCTCCAGGTCATGCCTCGCAACGCGCGGGATGGCTTCGACTTTAGTTACATGAGTAACAAGGATGACAGCCCAAGTCTCAGTTTCCAGCATGGGGTGGGATATGCATACCATAGCGCCATAGGTGCCATGGTCAAAACATGAGCTAGTTTCCCATATTGGAAGATGATCATCATATCATCAATCCATTTCTATGGATCTATATGCCTCTGATAAGCATTTCCATTGTGGGAAGGATGACCATGCTCCGTATAGCATGGTTTAATTATGCCCTATATCTTGATGCAATTGACTGTCAGGAAACCATGTCTTTGCTAGTTTTGTCTGTATTGCCATAGCATGACTTCAGTTAACCCAGACAGAATAGCGTCCACACGCAACTGTTGGATTCAGGAGCTGGCGCCCCGATGCATAGTATAAATGTGTTTCAGAAATGGCTTCCATAACTTGTAGATGCTTCATAACCACCCAAAACACAATTACTGACAATTACGGCATATTTCGGATATTAACTTGTATACATGTTTTTTTGTTGTATATATTCTTTAAAATATACCCTCTGGTTATTTAACATGGCCATGGAAAGATCCACCCATTTTAAAGTTCGGTAAACCATCTATTTCGATTAGGGCCATGGCTTAACCATGGCTATGTTAGTCATAACCAGAGGGTATATCCCAGTAAATCCCATTAGATACCAGTTAAGTCACCATTAAATCCCATTTAGTGATGGGTAATAAACTGTTCTAAAGTGGTGATATTTCACAGGTGATCTTCGCATTTTTCCGTCCTGGATCCAGGTCTTGGCTTTATTGCAGAGGAGGAGCAGCAGAAACCATTGGGAAGTTGGGAGAAATTGTTGGGTAAATGGTTGTTAAATCTGTTAAATGTTGTTAATCAAAGATGGCTTGCTGGAAAATGATAGAATTAACATGTCCATTTATAGAATTTATAGATAATGCTCCTATCTATATGAATATGACTATTTATAGAGGATGTCCCATAGCCATATTTGGCCAAACACTACTGGCTAATACAGTAGTTGCAACGTCGTTGTATGTGTATCCGGACTAATGTCTTTGGCCACCCCACTGTTGGCTCCAGCACCAAGTGGACGAGTCTTGCGTGTCCCCTGTGCCAGATGGATGCAGACAGGACCGCGTGAATTGCCCCTTCTATCTGAAGATTGGTGCTTGCCGGAATGGCGAACGATGCAATCGCGTTCGGACACCCCAGTTAACTCACTTAGGAGACTTCCATAACCATGCCTTGACACCAGTCCGTGGCCCTCGCGCATCTCTTCAAGTGCCAAAAGTGAAAAGGTACCACCACCACCACCAGCAACAGCAACATCATCATCATCCTCATCCTCATCCTCATCATCCTCATCATCCTCATCATCCTTCTTGGCAGGGGTCTCCCAAACGTTGGCTGTCCTTCAGCTGTAGCTGGCTTTACTTAGGCCCATATAAAGCCCAGCAGTGGACACACCATCCTCATTCCGCACATGCTGCTTGGCGCATAGCTGCTGTATTAACCCGGAGTTGATAGCTGGGTTGCAAAATATGTGTCCCCGATTTATCCCAGTTTTGGTTTCAGGAAAATCAACCAGATACCACCAAACTTACGGTAAGATCCGTGGCTTCCGTTTGATTTCATTGACTTGGGAAGTTGGGAATATTTGGGTTTGTTCATCAAAATACAACCTGAAATGGTTTATATAGTTTATAATAGTTTATATATATATATATATGTTTAAATCATTTCAGCGCATGAGTTTCCCACTTCAAAGGCCCCATCAACTGACTTTTTTTCAGACTTGCCCAAGGCATGAGTGAATGATTTTTTCGTGCTGAGGTATCCTTGCATCCCGGAAGCCATGCAAGTAGCGAATGATGACGAATGGGACGATGAAACCTATGCTCGTCAACAGGAGAAGCTGCGAAGCTGATGGGGCTGCTGATCGACCACGAGATGTTTTCCTGCACGCTACTTTCAGACAATCCAAATGACATGGCTTAAACCATCTTAAACCATCTTAAACCATGTGACACGGTATATGGAACCGCCAAAGTGGCAATTTCTACGTACGTACGACCAATCACAATTGATTGGGTCCATTACATTTTTGAGCCATGGCCATCTTGGTGATGTACGTTTATACACCACGTTTGATGCATGATTTATGATTCCCAGCTGTTCGCTCAGACTGCTGTGATTATTGATTTCCAACAGCATCCAAAAAGCAGGTTTCTGGCAGGTCCCTGCAAATCAGGACACTCCAGCGAAATCCAGCGAAGGTGTTCCTCATGCAAAAAAAATGAAAACCAAAAAACTCTTTTAACAATGATCCTAACGATACCCGACAAGAATTACCAACAAGACTTCCCCCTTTCACTATTTTTGAAATGGTTGTAAATGATGGATTGTTCCTCCCAACGGTATCACTGGATTTGAAGGGAACATCGAAACCGGACAACCATGATTTTCACACGTCTTCACATCAAATCTGGTTTTCTCGTTTCCTCTATAGACTGTCCCGTAATGTAATTTTTCTCCATCGATGACAAGGCCGTCAGAAGCGATCCAGCGATGTCGCTGCGACCAGGAGCATTTGGAACACTTCTACGAAGAAGTCTTCCTGGAGCTCGCGAAGTTTGGCGAGGCCTGGCGAAGTTTGGAGCGGAGGTGTCACAAGGTGTCACAAAGGGCGATCACCATGGAACCCATCGTAGAACCCATGGTAGAACCATAGTTATAAGGAGTTATGAGAGCTTATACATGGGGATACAATGGGATAATATGTAAATATTTATAGCTGGATTCATTGCCAACCGATAGTATGTAGGTTTTTGCACACCCAACTGGTAAGAGCAGACATCATGAAACATGGTACAGTGGTGGAGTTGAATGGAATTGTTTTTGTCCAAAGATTGTTGGCGCAAGAAAACCAAACAATTGTGACATACTTATTTTTTGACTCTGGGAAATGGGAGAAAACCGTGGCACAATCTCGAAATGTATACTTCCATTCATGCCAACTGTATGATAAGCCATTGGTGATGATTCCATTCGTATCCCATCTTGGAGCCATACTCAGATTGCTTAGAATGCAGTGATTGCGTCTGCAGTTTTCGGGCACTACCAAACAACCTCTTGAATGATCCAATAGACAGAAACATGAGGGATGCACATGACAACAGTCTCTAAGCACAAGCGCTAGATTCATATGACTGCAGGAACCATTTGCATCATATGCTTTGATCGAGAAGGAATGGGGTACAGAGTGACCACTGATTTGCATAATTTAACGATTCAATTTTCGGAAGTTAGTCAGTCATTTTGAGTCACTGCCACGCGCAGAAACTATCCATACAGTATCTGTCCGTTTAACCTTTAGTTTGTACATCCAGCAAGGTGTAAATGGGACACGAAGCGCCCTTGTTGATCAATCTGGCATCCCCATTCCCACTCCAACCCCCTTTCTTTCCAGCCGTGAAGCCATGATTTCCATGAAAACAGCAGATGCTGCTGCGAATAAGCAGTGCCTGAGTGATGGAATTTCTATGTCCAATGAGTTGTTCAACATTGTTCAACAATTCCATTGATACTCCGGAACGATTGCATAAAATGTCAGAAACATTCAGAGACCATCCTGAAACCTTCTTGGCTTCAGCTTCGTTGCCTGCAGTTTTTGGATGTCCATGTGCCATGCATAGCTATCCAGTTGGAACATGTACACAAACATCAGTGGGATTTCTGCCTGTATTTGCACCTTTGAATCCCTGAGTGTGACCGGGAAGCTGGATTCTAGATTGAACTCACACAGTTTGACCATTGGATTGTTCAAGCAGAAGTCGCAGCAGCAGTACTTCCAGGCCAAAGCAATCTTCAAACACACCAATATTTAATGACATAGACTGCTTGAAACTATAACATATTCATATATTGAAACACAGAAACTCTAACCATAACATATATTGACATATTAACACTACAACCATAACATAAATTGAAACTTTAAACTATAACCAAGACGGGCTGGTCGCCATGGGCGCGGATGTCACGCATCGGGGTCAGCTGAGTGCATGGCGGGCGGCCTCAGTGATAGGGATTTAACCATGGATTTAACCATGAAAAACGGGAATAAAATGGGAAGTATAAGTAAGATCACAATTAACTAGGCTTCAAGGAAGAAAAACAAATATAGTCTAGTCGGTCTTTATTGTTGGTTTTACCGCCGAAGCAGAAAAGCCATGCTTAGACTGAGAGAATGTTTTGGTGGGGAAAGTGAAATGGGGGATCTCCAAGTCACCATAGGTTTCAATACTAAGTCATGGTCTACTGACTTGGATGATTTGGGGATACCCCCATGACTTATATAGGAATTTAGGAAACCTCCATTTTGGTGGGGAAAATGCTGGAATTTCCCATGGAATCCTTCTGAAACAGATACCATGGCTTTGTTGGCCCATTTGGGTACCTGGAGGTCCTATGGTGTATGTAAGACCATGTAGCTCTACATGGCAGTGTGTCAAAACCTTGTACCCCTGGTGAACATCAAAATAGCTGGTAAATGTATGTTCATCCCCTAAAAATGGTATTAATATGTATTGATCCATATCCACATGTACCTATACTCTGTCAACCCTGGTGGTGATTGGTTGGGGTTGTTTTCCTCAACCAGTGATGTTCTGCTACGAGAATGGAACCGGCCAAATAAGTAGCCTATGGGTTAACGGTTGGCGTTCATCCATGCTTGACATTTTTGGCCGTACTATAAATCCCAGCTCCCCAACAATCCTGTACAATCCCTATATGCGTGCATTTCGCAAGTTACCCATTCTAAGACGTATAATAAATATGTACATATACATATATATATATACATGTATGTATGGTATGATATGGTTTTGTTTCTGCTTGGTAAAACTCATTCAACAGCCCAAACATGCCCAAACCCATGGAGGCTTCGGAAGAAGAAGAGTGGCACAAGTTCCTTCCGCATCCGTGAGCTTGGAACGCTCAGCGGGACGGTCCATGATGGCCACGGGATTCCCTGGAAGCTAATGGATCTTGATGGGTGATTTGAGTTGATGAGCTGCATGATACTTGTGTAAACAATTGTAAACACCGAATTTTTTTAGGGGACTTCAGCTGCAAAAGATCTTGCGGTTGAGCCAAATGTGATCTTTGAATCTTTGGTTGTTTGCTTCTTAGGAAACTTTAATGGGTATGTATAGCAACCCAAAAAATATATAGGACATTATTAAACGTACTAAAACATCGATCAATTCTTTTTCTATCCTTTTTTTTGGGGGGGTCATGAGTGCATTGGAATGTATCCCTGAGAGCTCCCAGTGTTTGAAAATGCGGAATTGGCCATTTTAAAGGGAACATGAAAAAAAAAGCATGATCCAGTCATGGATTTGGGTGCGCCATTCTCAGACACACCCAGATCTGTCAAGTTCGAATACTACAGGTTTCACACAGCTTTAGATAAATCTCAGGTGGTTCGGAACAGTTTGAATTCTCTCCTGCCTTGGCAGCCACCATCCAAAGTCTAGCTTTCTTGATCTTGGAGTTTCAGGGCTGATATGCCAGGGCCATCCAGGGCCGCTGCATTGGCTGAGGTATAACAAGAGGTACTTCACGTTGGATTTTGACACCCATACCTTCTTCTATGCCCATTCTGAAGGGAGCAAGAAGGTGCGAGATACATGGGGAGTTCCAAGGGCGAAACATGCAGCGGGCCTTGCAAAATTTGCAAGACGGATCAAGAATTTGCAAGGTGCTGTTTTGGAGAAGGTTCTATTTTGTCAGGTACATAAAAAAAAATGTCGATCTGCCTTCAAAACTTGCCCAGTTGGCTATGGAGTGTTCAGGACGGCATAGTCATTAGATGTTAAAAACGCATGGATTCTTTTCCTACGTCCTACGACCTACGACTGACGCGTTTGTTTGCTCCTCAGTTCTAAGGCTTTTGCATGTCATGATTCTTCACTCTTCTTGCCATTGGAATCAGTGAGCGATTGTCATGCGGAGTAACTGGTGTCTAATCCCTTCATAACTGGCCAATGTGATTAGATTCACTACTTTCTATTCTTGGCTGGATGGTACTGACTCGCTGATAAAGGATTCAAAAAATAGAAGCCTAAGATAGCCTAAGGTGTTTTTTTTCAATATGAAACATTCAAAATGTACAAAGATAATTTTCATTGATGATCCGCGGTGATTGAAAACACATCTTTCACCTGGATCCGAACATCCATTTTTTATAGAAAGACACCGTCGATATATTTAGATTTTGACCCATAAACAATTAAACGATATTCACATAAGATAAGCACATAAGATACATGGCAGCCATGGTTTAATCATGTTTACCCTCTGGTAAACTAACATAACTATGGAAAATCACCATTTTTAATGGGAAAACTCACTATAAATGGCCATTTTCAATAGCTATGTTAAATTACCAGAGAGTAATCGATGTACTTGACGATCTGAAGCTCGCCAGGTTTCGTAGTTGTTCCTTTCCGCCAGGTTTCTGCCGTCACTCCCTTCGCCGATATCGTGGACGTGCGCTTGCCGGAGGCGTCGATACTGTAGATGTCGATGATGTGGATCTGGGTTGACCCCCCGATTGGATGGGGATTTTTGACATGGTTTAAGCGGTTAACCATGGTTAACCATGGTTAACCGCTACAAATTTCAGTTTTACCAAGGACCAACAACATATTGGGACTAAACAAGAAAGCATTAGCATTTATATAGCTGATATAAGTGCAAACTAGTACAAGATAGAGGTACAACGGTATAACTCCAGCGATGAATGTGCATGGTGTTGTTGGTGTTGTTGGTGTTGTTGGTGTTGGTGTTGTTTGTCTCTTTGTTTGTCTGGCTGGCTGGCTGGCTGGTTGGTTGGTTACCCCACGATCCTCAACTCTT